TGAACAGATTTATTAGATACCAAGTTATATGAAAAGAAACTTTCAAAGTATGTAATATATTTAGCTTCAATCTATCACTAGGCAATCTACTCTAAACGTCTTTAAGATAACATTTCAAGTTAATGATAAATTAGATTGAAACAATTCTGAACAAATTATTTGTTTAGTTATTAGATGGAATTTTAAATAGAATTTGTATGTAGTATGTATCATGAACTAATCAAAACTAGATTTTGATGGAGTTTTGTTCTCTGAGCTGGATCGTTTGGTTGTGAAGCTTTCATCGTTCTTCTGAACGACATCGTCAGCACAAACTTAAGATAGAAGTGAAGTGTTCCAATTTCTCCATATGCGTTTCACAGCTTCTTCTGTACACCACGACCAAACCATCCAGCTCAAAGAACAATACTTCATCAAAATCATCCACCTGAGCTACAAATCTTCTCCACCATCTCATAATCAAAACTAAAGTTGAAAAACTGAAAGCACTGGACAACTGTATCATCTTAGTCTGGTAGAGAGATAGTTATTAACACTGTGGTGTTGTCTAATTACATTCAAAGGTTGTTGTCATTCATAGTGACAGTATGTTTCACATGATTCAATATTGTGCCCGAATTGTATTACATTGAAAAGATCTATATAGATATATGTTACCTTTTTGTAAAATTCAATGAATAAATAGGATCTTAGATTATAGTTTGGATTATTTTAGTCATTCCGTTTTATTAAAACAATGAAGGTAGACAAAAACAATTTGAGGTTTTGAAAGAATAAAGTGATCGAATTTTAAATAGAATTGTGCTTGCAATGTTGTTTTCGTTGTGCCCCTATCGATGTAAAACATAATGATACCACCGATTAGAGAACATTAAATTATCGACCGGACCAAATCTAATACCGGAGAATTCCAAATGTTTCCATTCTCTCTTCTTCTTATTATTATTATTATAGTTCAAATTATAACAAACGATCTTCTAGTGCTTCCACGTTTTCCATAGTGATCTGGCTTTACATTTAGTACAAGTTTAAAAATGTTACTAATATGTCTAATATAATTTTCACAAATGAATTCATGAGTCGATCTAAGCTAAATCATCATTGAAAACTTAGATACATAGGACCATCATTTCTTCCTAGTATGGTTCTCCTCAAAACTACATACACATCCATAATCCTATACTCAGGACTCGAACCCACGATCTGCGACCTCGCACTCGAACACTTAACGTCGAATACCCATTATACATATAAACTGCATGAAAATAAGATCCGATTACATTACATTGAAAAAAGACAACGCTTACCATATATAAATAACTATCTTTACGACTACTTGTTGTTTCATTCATATATAATGGAAAATATAAAAGATACATATCTAAATTGACTAATTCATCTGTTTTACCAAATCCAATACCGAAAAATTTCAAATGTTCCCATTCTCTATGATTATGAGTATTCAGATTATAACAAACATTAAATTGTAACCATTTCACTTCATTATTATCATAATTTACAGACCATTGAATATGATATTCATCATATTTATTTAATGGTAATGAATATTCCGTAGTAATACAATTGAGATTTGGAATAATAAACAATATTATAATGAATAATAGTAAATAGACAATAGACATTTTTAACGAAGAATAGATTAGCTGATGTTTGAGGTTGGTTTCTGGTTTCTTCTAAGAATTATAAGAATTTTCATTGGCTTTTATAGAGTTGTTGTGTCCCGATAAGAATAATGAGTGGTAACATTTTTGGGATCTATTTAAGGACCAATAGTGTGCGTGTATTTTTATCGTATAGTTGATAAGTAACTAAACTACTCATATTCATCTCTCTCTTATCAAAAGCTTTATTTTAACCTATGAACTGTTATTATACGATTTTCCATTCTTGAATTATTCCCTATCTATTAATCACCACCTCTCACATTCACAGCCTTATTTGGCTAAGTCTTGTACAAATGTTATTTTCTATTTTATGCTACGTTGTGGTCTGTTTGATTGGTATATAAACAGAGTATGTTTGAAATAAATGATTCATATTGCAGAAGCTGAGACTGGTGTTCTTCACTTAACTGGCTGGGCTAGGTGGAAAGTAGGACCAATCAGGACTCTAGGCTGCTCGCACGTGTTTTACGCGTCCCTGGTCCGATCGGTAGTTCGCTGCTTCTGATTAGCGGCTTTCGGCCATAAGAAGAGTAATTTACTGGTTGAAATCCTGAGTCAATTGGAGCTAGACAGCCATGGAAAACCTGGAAGCACTGGACGGCCGTTTCGTCCTAGTACGGAACTCTTCAGCATTGCGCATCCAAGATCCTGCACCCCGCGAGATCCGAACCCAGGACCTATGAGTCTTGCGCCAGGCGCTTAACCAACTAAACCCCTGAGCCGGCCGGCATCCAATGGTGTTAATGTCGTAGATGCACACTGCTGAGGAGTCCCATACTAGGACGAAACGGCCGTCCAGTGCTTCCAGGTTTTCTATGGTGGTTTAGCTTCAATTGACTCGTGATTTCAACCAGTGAAATTCCTAAAGATCTCCACAAAACCCATTCTGATAAGAGTAATTTAGTTTAACCTTTAATGAGTCTAATTAGCATTTGAAAAGCTGTTTTCTTTTCTTTTCTCTTTTTTTGTAATCTAATCCTGAAAATGTAATATACACACACACGAACACACATAATTGTTTGATTGGTTATTTTAAATGATCCTATGAAGACTATATATATATGATCAGTTTAAACGGTTCAATTAATTGGGATGGATTAATATAAGGAGTTTGTTGGAGTTGATCTAAAGTTTGTGCTGATGATTTCAATCAGAACGCGTCCTGGACTCCACTGCCAGCCACTATTCATCTTAGCCTGTAATGCTTCTGAATTAAGGCAATATTGAGGCAATACACACAGTATGCACATATGCCAATAACAGACTGATCAATCGCAGTCTTAAATCTCAATTGAAATATTCAAGTAAACAATACCAAGTGAATTTATAGTATCACTTAAATTGTATTAATTTCAATTTCACTTTAAATTATATACTGAACAATGAAGAATCAAGATGAAAGATTTACTGAAAAAAAATATTCATTTGCTCTACATCGTTTTTTGATTGAGATCATGAACCGGTTGATGTCAGAACACTATTGAAAACCTGGGAGCACTGAGTGGCCGTTTCGCCCTATTGTGAGAATACTCAGCAGTGCGCATCCACGATCTCACTCACGGGATTCGGACCCAAGGCCTTCAGTCTCGCGCGCGAACGCCTAAGCTACTAGACCACTGAGCGGGCAACCAGTGGTGTTAGTGTCTAACATCAACCATTCCACGAAATGGATTAGCCCCACCGGTCACGGCTTCTCACTAGAACTCCGAGAATTCTCTCACGAAGCTAGTCGATAGTGAGCACATGTTAATTACCTGTGATCCAGTAGATTAGGCGTTAGCGCGCAAGACTGACGTCGTGGGTTCGAATCCCGTGAGTGGGATCGTGGATGCGCACTGCTGAGTGGCACAATAGGATGAAACGGTCGTCCAGTGTTTCCAGGTTTCTGATAGTGGTTTGACATCAATCGGTTCATGATCTCAATCAAAACTTAATAATCTCCACAATCCTGATACTGGTATAATTTATTTCACGAATCTATAAATATTTAGTTTATTTTAATATTATATCTTCTATGATTACATATAATATGGTGTATGCTACTGATGTCGACTTCATATGATATAATAAGATATAATATCATAATAATATATATTATAAGATATAAGTAGTACGTATCATCAAACTAAAGTGAAATGCCTGATGGTAGAAACTTTAGAAAATCAAAGAGAAAAGAACGAGAACATATGATGTTTAGTATGGAAACGAAGAGACAACGAAGTCTGAGACAATTGATGACTGTTTTGAAAATCAAGCATTTACTGTTGTGTTCTCAGATTTTATCAAGATATTTTATAATTTTATATTCAAATAAAATTGGTTACCCCCCCCATACACACGCTTGTATGTATATTTATCAGAATAAGATTTATCATAGATAGACAAAGGAGAATTCATAATCTATTGACATACAATTACAATCAGACCGATAAACATGTAAAGTACAAGTACACCTCGTGTAAACAACTGAATGATGTTACATCGATAAAGTTACTCAATTCTATCAGACTTCATATCGATGTGATTTATGTGAGAACGACAAAGATTTCTGTTATGTCGGAAATGAATTCAGCCACAATATGACAAACCAACTGCACCACAATACAGAAACTGTGTGTATTGTTTGGAGGAAATCAACACCTCACATAGAATGAGAATAGTCAGGAAGTGATATATTGAGTGTATGTGTGTGTGTGTGTGGAAGAAACAGAGACTGGAGATGTGGTGGAGTGGAAATGATGTTGGTGAGCTCGACTAATTTTTGAAGTGAATCAATACAAGTCGAATGTTGATGATGGAGTGAGTTTGTTTTGATTATAACTGGTGATTGAAATTTTTCGTACTGATGATGATGTTGATGTTGATGATGATGATGATGATGATGATGAATGGTGTGTTTGTCGAACTCAACTGTAGAATCTAATTCATCAATGAATTGGACAGTTCGAGTGGGTAGTAGGTTTTGACCAGAAGGAATTATTTTGATGATGTGAGACATGTGCTTAAGGTAATATCGAGGCAATACTTACAGTATGCACACATGCCAATAGAAGACTGATCAATTACTGTCCTAAGTATCAATAGAAAGTTTTAAGTAAACAATACCAAGTGAATTGAGACTTCAACCCAATTTCACAAGCTACTGGCTATCAGGATTCAGTAACTAAGTGAATAACGCGATGGCATTTGAAGCGTACAGTACTGAGTTTGAGTCGCAGGGTGAACGTTAACACTGAGATGCAGGTACATCCAGCCGAAGAGTCGCAAATAAGACAAAACACATGTCCTGGATCCCACTACTAACCACTATCCATCTTTACTTGTAATAAATAGCTGATTTTATTTTTTATAATAATATAGCATATATATATTATAATAATACTGACAACATACAAGATACAATGTCTTCATTCTCACCTAAACACATACAGAACAATTTCATTAAACCGGTTATTAAATTAATTATAAAATTGATTTTAGTTTTTCTTTTTTTTTGTTGCCTATAACAACACACTGAAAAATTTGCATTCTTTGAAGAAGCAGAAGAAAAAGAAAAAGAAAAAAGAAAAAAAGAAAGAAAAACACGAGCTTATATATTTTCATTATGAATTATGATAAATGATTTCCCTATTTTTTAATATTTTTATCGTGTCCATTTTCTTTCAAAAGGTTACATGTTCATATGGTTAAGTTCAGGTTACATAATGAAAAGGGAAAGATTTTTTTTCATAAAAAACAACAACAACACAAAACTGAACTACATTTAAACAAAACAACATAGAAACCAATTCACTAGTAAGATGATCACTTGAACACATTGAATTGTCACGTTCATTCGAAATCATAGTAAGTGTAGTAAAGTAGTGACTAGAAAAGCAAAGATGTATGATCTTTCTTTTTTTTATTTTTGAAATTTGGGTAACAAATAGACAGAAGCACACGCACACACACACACACACACACGCAGAGAGAAACAATGAAGAAGAAGAAGAAGAAAGAGAAGAAGAATGTTAGTCGTCAAATTCTTATAAAATTGACATTGTTTCATTATTTTTATATTATCATGCATAGATTCGATAATGTAATGAGAACATTTACCTAGAATGGATATTTTGATATTGAAATGTAAACATAAAATGAGTGTTGAAATATTAATTTATATTTCTTATATGATTGATTATAATTGTTCATATCCGATGATGTATTATTAAACCATGTTTGATTACCAATATTATATTCATTATTGATTGTTGATGAAGTTACAGATGATGATGGAGCTGTTGATTTATGTCCTGGTGATATAGTCGTTGATAAAGAGTCCACTGTTGATGATGACGATGATGATGATGATGATAATAATAGTTTAGTATCATTTTCATAACATGATACTCGGAAAAACAAATAATATAACTGACCAGGTTCATCATATTTTGTTTGTTGATATGTTAAATTTGTTGCCGCTTCAATATGTGCACTTAATAGTGTACGCTCACGTGTTTGATTTGTATTATTTTTAGCCCAATTCGGTGTTAAGTAAACAACTCCGTCTTCTGTACGATGATGAACTGGTGTATTTGGTGCTTTGTCTAAAAGATGATAGTGACAATTCGATTGCTGAACCTGAATTGTTTATACAAAAATGTAAAAGAAAAATATAAATAAATACTAATAGATTTCATAAAATGGAATACATTTAAGTAGAAAGAGTGAGATTAAACGCTATAAACACATTTTTGGTACTTCGTCAATTGTTCAAGATTCTTCAGTGTTGACATTTTGTGCATGAGTAGAGTGTCGTCCTACCAGTATTAGTGTATTGTGCACTACTTATGCGGATAGACACAAGTAGTACGTAGCTGGAATTGAGAGTAGGATGCTTACCCGTATTAAAGTGAAATAAGGAGAAGAGGAAGGAGAACGAAGAGCAATCCGAATAACAATAGGATGGATAGAATGATGAAGTATGTAAAGGACAACTGGAGGAGGATATGCAAATGCTATATTTAATGCATAGTTTTCATATTTTACAAAGACACCGTTTGATTTAGCATAAAACAATATACTATTTTACCCTGACCTGGGTTTTCGTTCACAATATTAGTGGTAGTATTAGTGTGGTATATGCTACTTACGTCTGTCTACATAAGTAGTAAGTAACACCAATCAGAAGAGCAATGCATGGCAGCAGAAGGCTATGTGAGTTGACTTGAAGAAAAAAACGGAAATAGAAATGAATTGTGACTTGGAAGAATCATATAGTGTAAACGATAAATGATAGAAATTCGCAAATGAAATATTGAGTGTTTGGTTTTCATATTTTACCAAGAGACTCTGTAATTATACATTTAAATATAATCGCTTGTCTCCTACCTGTGTTCTCGTTCATTACAGTAGTAGTAGTAGTAATAACATTTATTCAGTTTTCTGCCATGTTTCCATCTATGTTTTTTTCAGGTAAATATCATTTAATTGATTAAAGTTAAGACTAAATTCCCCAGTTATTCATTAGGTCCTCTTCTAGGAGAAAAAGATACGGGCGGTTATCAATACGAATAGACTGTCTATTCAGTTTCGTTCCATAAATCCCTATGTATATGTATATTCTCAAAACAACTGACAACCAATATCAATGTCATTATCTTCAATAAGAAGGTTTAGACAGTCACTTATACTGTACGGAGCTGAAGCTTCCACAACTACTACAAATATCATCAAAAAGAAACAAACATTTATAAACAGTTGTCCATGCGAGATACTATTCAATGTTCGTTGTTGACCAGAAGCCTACTGTGGGAAATAACAAACCAGCTTCCAGACGAGGAGGAAATTAGCAAGAGTCTATGGAGTTGGCGGATAGGACATACATTAAGGAAATCATCAAACTGCATCACAAACCAACCGCTTACTATTTGGAATCGTGAAGGGAAGTTGAAGAGAGAAAGACCAAAGAACTCAACAAGTCAGGAATTGTAAGCCAACATGAAAAGAATGAATATCAACTACAAAAGAAAATTGTTCAGGATATGATTGAACAGAGAACGCTGGTGGTCAGCCTATGCTCGAAACAAAATTTGGAACATAACTACCTGATTTATCACTATCTAAATTGATTATAATCCAAATAGATCAGAGAATAAATAATAATTAAAAAAATCCCGAATACATGTCATTCACATACTACACTTGAAATAAGAATCAAAAAGATTGTCATTTTAAATAAATCATCTGAAGAAACCTTCCACAATGAAAAACATGAACACATTACTATTAAGTCAATTACAATGAACAAAGAAAGAAAGAAAGAAAGAAGAAAATAAAAAGAGAAAAAACCCAATATTTACTTTTAATTTTGTAAAAAAAAAATAATCACCATAACAACTCCATACCAGAAATTCTATGTCTACTTGATCAATGGTGTTCTTTTCTTTCTTTTTAAAACTTGTCATTTTCAGAATAAGAATTACTAAATAGTTCATTGATATTCAGTCGTTATTTTTTTAGGGATTTAGAGATTTATTATTATTATTTTTATTATAAGATTGATAATTATAAATACCAATTAAGAATTAAAAGTAGATAATGGTGAAATTGATAGTGAAACAATGTAGGATATATTTAGCTTTATTCAAATATCAGTATATTCCATTTCAGTATAGGGATTTGATCAGCCCTAATGGGTTGATGTCTGACAAAATCTCAGCACGAATTTGAAAAGCTGTATTGGGTTTTGCTAACTTACGTCACCTATGGTAAAGGCAAGATATCTGTCTATCAAAAAAGTGAACCAGTATACTACGCGGTAGTTTGTTCTGTTTTACTTTACGGTTGCGAAACGTGGACATTAAGAGTAGGAGATACTCGTAAGCTACTAGTATTTGATCACAGATGTCTTTAAAATATTGCTCGCATCCGCTGGGATCATTGGGTAAGTGATAGTGAATTTAGACGCAGTGTATTAGGGAATAATGGTAAATCAGTTGATGAGTTTGTGAATCTTCATCGACTCAGATGGTTGGGCCACGTGCTGCGCATGCTCAAACACTGACTACCACGACGTGCAATGCTAACCGGTGTTTGAGATGGTTGGAAGAAAGTTAGGGGTGGTAAACCAAGACGTAGCATCAGTCATTGAAGTCACTAACTTCTAGTCTTAGCCATTTTGGTAGATGCAGACTACTTGGTTGGGGTCCACGTGACTATCGTAACCAATGGTTAGATACTGTGTGTGATATGGTTGAGAACCGATCCCAGTGGCGTATGTGTATACACTCTCTGTCTTCCCTTAAACTAAGAGATTAAAGTCGCTTCATATCTTTCTTCCTGTATTATATCCTTAGACACTAACCTTCTTTCATATATTACTATGATTGAATTGACTACTCATATGAATTTGGTATTCATCTTGTTGTGTTAATGAGGTATGGCGATTTGGACCGATTCATATATGTTATCGAATTAATAAAAGCCAAGCAGCACTAAATACTTGTCTTATGCTTCTTGGAGTCTTCTCAGTCGTGTGAACCTATGATCCGATAAAAAAACTCAATCATATCAGAGTAAAAAACAAATTACCTATGATGATGGTTACGTACTGTGGTGTACACTACTTATATCTGTAGACATAAGTGTTATGTAATACCAGTCAGAAGTGGATTACCCGGAAGCAGGAAGTTGATAAGATCAAATTGACGAGAACAGGAATGTAACAAGAGAGTGGTTATAATAACAACAGGAATGAAGGAACGATGAAGTTTGTAAGAGACCTTTTTTGGAAGATGTGCAAATGAAGGATTTAATGTATGGTTTTCAGATCTTAGCAAATCACTCTGTAATAACTCATTAAACAATAAAATGCTTGTCCTCACTTAAGTGTTCGTTCACAACAGTACTACTAAAGTCAAAGTATTGTGCTTGCAATAATACTTGAAGATCTTACGTTAAGAAGCGGTTGTGCGCTTTCGGAGAATCACGATGTTCAATTCTCTATGATTTTTACTAATTCTTCAGCAAACGTCATTAAGATATTTCACTCAAGAATATATTCATTTAGAAGTGATCACGAGTGTTTGCAATCCAGAAGAATGCCTTTATCACAGTTACGTTTTCTGAGCTGAACGATTTACCTGCTAATTTTACCATTACCACTGGGATCAAGATCTGTCTGTTCTGCATTCAAAGAAAAGTGAGCTTTCTAAAACGGTTGTCGGAGAACATAATAAAGACTTCGTAATTAAACCATTTAGCTCATGTAAAGTAATATTACAATAATATACCAACTAATGTCATCATACGGAATATACTTGTATTTTAATATTAATTATTAAATATATAATTATATATATAAGTTAAACCATCATTGAAAACCTGGTAGCACTGAATGGCCATTTTTTAGTGTCAGAAATGGGTCGTCCAGTGCATCAAGGTTTTCACTGGTCCTCTAACTTGGTTTGGTTCATGACTACGATGGAATTCAACAGTCTCCACAACCCCGTACTAACAGTAAAATATTTACAATCATTTATTTGAATAAACTGAATCTGTAAAATCAATCTCACTTACTTGATGCCAGTCAACAACACGAAGCATTATCCTTGACCCCGTCACACGGTATGATTCAGGCGATGGAAGACTAACAACTAAATATTCCACAGTATCAGCAAACATAGCACCATGAGGACAATTTAATTTAGAATCACTACATCTTATTCGACAAGATCTAGATTGTGTAATGATAATAATAAACGAACCATCTTTTTAAAGTAATTAACAAATTTCCATGAATTCTAAGCACAATTAAAAATTAAAGTTCATTTTACTTTAAAAGTTTTAAACAAACAAGGAATAGATTAACTGTCAGGACATCTTTTAACTAGTTATATAAAGCAACATAACTGATAAACAGTAAGAAACATTCCATAGTTAGCAACATGAAATAATCTTAGTTATACACCTGTTGAAAACTAGGATACATTAGAACCCCTAAATTCCCTGGTACGGCCGAGCTTTCGTCCTCTCTCCCGCTCTCGAAATACTCTCACATGGCCACGAATATACAGCCACTTCCAGGAAAGTCCTACTCACCGCCTTCTCGCGGCGGTGTTTTTTATTGAATTAGGAGAACGAAAAGCGAATATCCGGTGCTTTAACCGGGCTGATGAACACAGAGGATCCAGCTAAGTGAGTTAAAAAACCCCAATTTCGAACCAATGGCACACATGAGCCCTAGGATTCTGAGATAACGAATTGCGCATGAACCTATTGTTGATCATTGGCTACCATGGGACTACATCGCTTAAAGTTGCCTCACTGACTTATGGACTAGAATTCTAGGTCAAGGGCTCAGGAATTGGCCTACTAATAAAACCATCTGCTTCGGTTCGAGCGCTCTGGCAGTATCTCAGCCCTCACACAAGTCCAATAATGGAGTGTTGCGCACATAGATTTGGCGCCTTTTTGTACCTATGTTTATGTGTTTGCACAACCTATACATTAAATAGCTTTTTCCTACTAGTATGGGGCTAGTCGATATTACTCTTCCACTACCCAAACAGGGGATCTAACCTAGGGTTCCTGAACAATTTCATTCTTGTTTTAAATTTTTGAGTAGTGCAGGTAAATGAATTCAGTCAAAATTTAACTCAAGAAATTCATACAATTCTGGAACAGAGAGAAATTTAGACTATCAAATCAAAATTCATTGGTCTGCTACATGGAATAATTATAGCTGGTATAAGTTACTCTCATTCATTTCAAGTAATTAGAATGCGCTACCTCTTTTCTTTAAATAGTATATCGATATAACTGATTATGACTAAAGCGCTTTTGTCTCGACCGATTGTTGCTACCTTGACGTGGTGGTTGGGCTTGCCTATCCTGATGAAGCGACCGAGCTATACTGGCTGGGACAACCGTTCCTCTATGTCCTACCGTGTCAAACAGGTCGGTTGAAGAGCGGTAAGACTAAGAGCAACAAACCCAAGGTCCGAAGGTGAAGTCGTACTGCTAAATGTGCAGAGGTGTGACAGAAGCAAGGTGTTTCCTTCAGACAGCCAGTTAAACAGTGATGCTGCCTTCCCACAAAGAGGGGTGGGGCTAGAAAATTTCGACCCTAAAAATGCACACCTCGCCTTATCCCACAGATTAAAATCGCTTCATATCCTTCTTCCCATGTACTAAATCTTTCTTCCTGTACTATGTCCTTATATGCAATCTTTCTTTTATGTATTACCACCATTGACTTAACTACTCCTATGAATCCGGTGTTCATCTTGCTGTGCTAATGTGGTATGGCAACTTAAACCGATCCATATATGTGCCTAGTCCGACGTTGTAGCTGATTGACTGACTGACTGAAAGTGATTTTGTGACTATGAGATAGTAGGTATTTAATCTCATTTGTTTAATTTTATTTTAAACATTGAACTTACCTAGATTTTTTGTCGTAAACATAATTTTTCGGACATCTTTGTTGTACACATGTGTAATTACCTGGAAGATTTAAACAAACTTCATCTGATCTACAAGGATTGCCTAAATTGCACTCATCTATATCTGAAATGAGAAAACACACAGAGAAAATGAGTCAGAAAAATAGAAAAAAAGTGTAATTGAATTATCCGCAGAGATGAAGTAAGTAAACTAAGAGTGAAGAAATGTGGTAAATAGTTTACTCCTCTAGTGATATGATTTTCCCGTTAAAAATTACCTGAACTCTCACACTGAAAATCACGAGTAGATCTAAGCTAGACCATTAATGAAAACCTTACGGCATTGGATGGCCATTATATCCTAGTATGGGTCTCCTCAGAAGTACGTTCGCGCACGAGAGCGAAGTTCATGGGATTGATTTTTGCGTGTGGGATCATGGATTTACAATGCTGAGGAGTCCCATACTGGAATAAAACGGCCGTTCAGTGCATCTAGGTTTTCAGTGGTGGTCTAGCTTAGGTTGTCTTGTAATTTCAACTGTGAAAATACTATAATCACCACAAATTCCTTTTACTAATTACCCTTAATTATCGGCAAAACTATAATTTATCGACGAGCCAATGAAATTTAAGATACCAAGTCATGAGCTTTGGTCAGGAATTCATTAATTCTTAGAGTTTAATAGCCTTTCGGCATCATGATTAATGTCAATTCGCGATGAAAACCATAAGTCTAATTCCAAACACTAAATTTTAACTCTAAGTATTACTACTAAATTCTGTTAGTCCAGCTATTTGATGTTTTGTGAGTAAGTTCGTTCTAGCACAGTGGTGAATAATAACAATTTGCCCAATGGTTTGCCATAAAACTTTCAGTTTTTTTTCTCAAGTAGGTGCATACTTTATTATATATTTTTGAGTCATGATAATGATCCTTCCGCAGGTTCACCTACGGAAACCTTGTTATGACTTTTACTTCCTCTAAATATTCAAATTAGGTCAACTTAGCATTAGTTGAACGGCAAAGTCACTACAACGATACCATTCCAACGACCACACTAAACCATTCAATCGGTAGTAGCAACTGGAGGTGTGGTTAATAATCGGAATTAGATTCAACATCCCACTGCTAGCCACTATCCATCTTTGTTTGTGAATTAAGGCAATATCAAGGCATTCGCACAGTATGCAGATATGCCAATAATAGACCGATTAAATGCAGTCTTAAACCTTAATGGGAAGATACAAGCAAAATAATACAAAGTGAAAGTAATAAACATCTTTTGGTATGTTTTAATATTAAGATGAGCACTTTCATATAAAGAAGTCAAACTTTATTGAATTTAATACTTAGCTATAAGTGATCTTACCTCTGCATAAATTTGTTTTACGATCTATTTCATAGCCTATTGGACATTCACAACGATAAGCTCCATATGTATTTACACAATTATATTGACATGGACTTGAACCAAATGATGGATTACATTCATCAATATCTATTCAATTTATAAATGAAAAAATATAATGAATCAATGCATATATATTATGAATATTTGAGGATGTTTATATCTGGTGAAAGACTAATAATCTAAAAGCTCAAGATGTATTTTCTCCAGTTCTTCAGAGAAACTGTGACTAGGGGAGTTTAATCGTGTCTGTTGTTAGGCAGTTACTCACTGAAGACAACGGTGGACAGTCGCATAATATCGTTGATTGGTTGACGTTAGGCATTAACACTGTCAGATGCCGTTTCAGTGGTCTAGAGGTCAAGCGTTCACGCGCGAGACAGAAGATCATGGCTTCGAGTCCCATGTGCGGGACCTTGGGTGTGCACCTCTGAGAAGTTCCATACTAGGATGAGATGGCCGTCCAGTGTTTCCAAGTTTTCAGTGACGGTCTAACATGTACCTATTCATGATGTCAATCTAAACTCAACAATCTGCACAACCCTATGCTGATAAAGCATACATTACAATCGATCATGTTGATAACGTTTAAAAAGCATACAAAGACTTTGAAAACCGAAATAAATTCATTCAACAGATGGGATATAGAGATTGGATCGAATTTAATTTTCGAAATAAAGTGGAACAATTAAAATTTGACTCAACAAGCATAGTTTTTCCTTGGAAGAAGTGAAGTAAACGAAGACTTGGTGGGGAAAACTAATTTATTGTTCAATGCATGATCACACAGTGCTTTGGTAAAATGTGTAAATCATACATCCAATATATCATTTGCACATCTTTCAGTTTAACATCCTTCATGATTCTTCCAATTTTGTTTTGATTCCAATTCTCTTCTGTTCTCTTAAGCTCAATATTCTTTTGACAAACATTCCTTTTCTGATTAGTGTTACATAATACTTACATCTGTCAACATAAGTAGCATACACCATAGAAGTATACTTGGTTAGTAACTAAACGTTAAATTATTTTAGTTGTTTAAAAATTCTGTGGAAATGCTATAGCCTCCACAAATCCTCTTACCGATAATAGTCATGTGTACACTAGTGACTAGCTTCAAGATGTAACTTCTGGAGTTCTAGTGAGAAGCTGTGATCATTGGATGTGAGACAATCATCCACCTCAGACAATGAATGAAGCGTTGCGCAAGATCATAAATCGATTGAAGTTGGACATTAATATCGTTGGGTCCTGGCTCTGTGGTCTAAAAGTTAAGTGTTCGCCCGCAAAGCCGAGGGTCTAGGGTTTGAGTCTCACGTGTGAGATCGTCAATGCGCGCTGCTGAAAAATCCCATACTAGGAAAAAACGGCCATCCAGTGCTTCTAGTTTTTCAATAGTGATTTAGCTTATTCCTTTAACCAAAGTCACCATCCACTGGTTCTTGTAAATAATCGTAAGATTTGAACACGATTATTCAGCTTTATACAAACGCACTTCCTAATTAGTCTTAGTCTTTATCTATCACATATATCGCTGTTCAAGCATAGAAACATGGATTGAATAGTAAATTGAACTATAGAGCACACAAATTATTATTTCCAGGCTTGATGACTTATTTCAAGTTATGAATGAATATGTAATTTTTACCCCCCCCCCCAAAATTTACCTATACAGCCTTTTTCTCGATTCCATTGAAATCCTTCATTACAGAACAAATCACGTCGATCTGAAAATTAAGAAATTTGTACATTGAATAATGTTTTATCAATAAACAAAATAATTATGCTCTATAAGTGTTGCTGTAGTGAACAAGAACACGAGCGGGGACAATCGAATGTATTGGACACGAAATTACAGAACATCTCAATAAAATCTGAGAATCATATAGTAAATAGTTAATTTGCAAAATATCAATCCATTGTCTCAAAGTTAACTGTTCCTTTTGCAAATATCAGTCCATTGTCTCAGATTTCATTGTTCATGCATTTTCATACCAATTGGGTTCCGTTCCCGTTCCTTCCTTATCGATCTTCTACTGAAATGCATTCTATGCCTGACTACCGTTATATACTACTTATGTGGATATAGTAATCCACACTACATTACTACTAAGATTTGACTTGATAGTTTCGAATGGATTGAGCATCGAAAAGATTAATAACAATAGAAATAATATATTTATAATATCCTAATGAGCAAAAAATTAAATTACTAATGTTTCGTCACTTAGTGTTAACTACTTCTTCGGAGAATAAAAACAACACATTGATACAAGTTTAAATAGTACAAAAAACACAATAGTTTTTAGTATAATCAAAATAAAGATAGATTTAATCATGTTAATATTATTGTCATTTCTGTCAAGTTTATGTTTTATGTGAGACATAGCTGAGTGTAATTGTATGTGTTTATGTTAGTGGATGTGATAAATGTGATATTTATGGAACAGTAAGGTTAGGAATATGTGTGTATTTGTAAATGGTATTGTGATGTGTACTATTGATGTTGACAGATATAAGTAGTATGTATCATCAATCGAAAAAGAAATACCTGATGGTAGAAGGTTAATAAGATCAAGGAAAAGAGAACGAGAGCAAAGAATGATTGGTGTGGAAATGAAGGAACAATAAAGTCTGAGACGATTAACTGATATTTTGAAAATGAAGTATTTACGGTATGGTTCACAAATTTTAATAAAAGATTCTGTAATTTTGTATTCAATTACATTCGGTTAGCCACACTGGTGTTCGCCTTCACTACAGTATAAGAGTTTAACAGAATTAAATTTGTGAATATTTGTATAAACGGCCTATATTTGATGGCCTTTCTTCTTGTAGAACGCGTTAGGATTTAGCAAAATAGAAAAGGCCTAAGCCGCTCATCTTTTATTACATTTGAAAAAACCTTCTTGAATTATTGTGTCATTATTCATATCGATTTCGATGATTGCTAAAAAGAGCATGTACTGCTATTTCTGATTCTAAAATTATTCGGAGGTCTTTTTGCGTAGTTTCGATGTTCTTTGGCACGGGTCTCGATTTCACCACAAGACTCTTCAATATATAATACATCACGATCTACACACACACACAATTATGTGTCGAAGTGATAGGAATTTTATCTTGTATTTGAACTAAAGCATTTTGAAAAATGTTCATTGTTATGTAGAATGTTTTTATTCTGTATGATTCAAAGATTCATTGTAGTTCTTCCGTTGTATCATGATGGCATAATAGAACTATAGTACCAATCTATGATATTTCATTATACGTATTGTTACTTAATAATAGATCATTTTCTCTTAGTGCATGATTGAATAATATTGAAAGGAAAATAGTGAGCTTGTAAGGGGCTAATTGTACTCATCTGCTGTGTTTGTTTCTCTTTTCCCTACGTAACGATTATGATGGATTATCTTAATTAATTTAAAGATAATGAAAGGTCTACATTGAATCTATGTGTGAAGCCGAAATCAATGTATCAGTTTTCTGTAAGTGGTTAGATTTAGATATATATTAGAATTCCTTTTCACTAAACAGTCTCAAAATGACAGTTTAATAAGTTCATTTTCATGTTTGAAAGTGAATCAGATGTGATTAATTGGCTTAGAGAAGTTTCTAAGAAAAATCTTGTATATTTTTTTAATACTTGAGATCGGCACTGCTGAGGAATCCCACAGTAGGACGAAACAGCCGTCCAGTGCTCCCAGGTTTTCCATGGTGGTCTAGCTTCAATCGACTCATGATCTCAACTATTAAAATTACTATAATATCCATAGAATGAAACTCTTCTGAGTCAAATAAATTAGCAACCATCAAGAAAACAGGAAATTACATGGCCACTCTGTCTATTTATTTCTATAAAATTCCTTCGAAGGTAAATAGGGTTGAATTCAAGGGATTTAATGATTAAACTCATAGGGAATAGGCGCTTGTCAAATAAATTATCATTAACTACCAAACCATTGATAAAGTATAGACGTCTGTCATTTGGAATACTATGATGTAATGAAACAACATCATAGCATTATAGCGACTCACGTGCAATTGAGTTTAGTTCAGTCAAGGTCTTTTGTTGACCTATTTAATGGACAAAGTCATCCATGATATAACAACTTGTTGTACTATCTTTATTATTATGCTTGTATGAAATACATATGCTTGAACATTGTTTAGCGCCTACGCATGTATTCATTCTGCTAGCTTCATTATTAACTGCTTAATCTATTCGCTGACTCATCCATTTTCCTATACACATATATATGTGTACATTTGCATCCATTCACTACTACTACTACAACTACTTGCTACTGCTACAATCGTAGTTCGCTTGCTCATTCATTTTGCCTCTCTGCTGTCTGGTCCGAATTATCTACTAAATAAACTGTAGTAGCTGCTTCTTTTTGCCTTCTGATTTCAAACATCGTTGAAGATTATACGATAACGGTTCGAGGGTGATTAATTATCGAAGCACAGCCACTACAGAATTGGTAATCCCGACGTGAGAACGGGAAGCGAATTTCGGCGAAATTATCAAATCCCAAAAATCCGATTCTTTTCATCTCAATTTGGATTATCAAATGAACTATAATTACAACTGTGGATTTATATTATTATTCTAATTACACTTACATTATTTCGCAAACATTATTAAACGTGACAATTATAATCATAATAAATAACAATTATCCATAAACAATTGATATATTGGTTCAATTTAGTAAGTCTGTTCCATTTTATAAATTGTGCCATTTTTTTATTATCATTGTTTTTGCCCGTCTATTCTTTCTTGTGACTGTTAAGTTATTTTCGTGTGCTACTTAATTTTTATAAGCATGTCTTATGAAAACACAGTTTCAAGCGTACAGCAAGCCTTGTCCGTGAGGTCTCTTAACCTTCCTGCACCTTCTTTTAAAATCACAGACCCAAAACTTTGGTTTATAAGACTTGAAAATTATTTTCTCGCTAACCGCATTCTTTTGCAAAAGGATAAGTTCGGCCTGACAAGCACACTACTCCCAGACGAAGTAGCTGACAGCGTTCGAGAGGCACTAGCAAGACCAGACACAGAAAAACCATACGACGTGCTAAAAGAGGCAGTAATTAAAACTTTCTCTCTCAGTGATCAACAAGCCGTCGAACAACTCCTTAGCCAAGTACAAATTGGAGATAGAACCCCATCACAACTAAAAAATTATATGAAACGTCTACTTGGCGATAGACACATTGACAATAATCTCTTTTATCAACTGTGGTTCCGCCGTTTCTAGGCAAAAATACAGCAGATCCTAGCTGTGGGAGATACAGATGCTGATTTAGACAATATAGCAAAGATAGCCGATAGAATATACGAAAGAAGCAAGCAAGCAAGCCCTCCACTACACAACATGACGGTAGACGATAGACTTGATACTCTACAGAAGGAAATAAATGTTTTATGCCGCAAACTCACAGAATTAACGCAGAGAGAAAAGCCTCGAAGGTCATCGCGAGATCGCTCGCGTGAAAGGACCCGGTCAACTTCTAGACGACGCACAACTCCCGCGATATGTTGGTATCACCAAATGTTCGGCTACAGGGCTAGAAAGTGCCTACAACCTTGTGGATTTAACAGGGCTAGTAACCGATACCCACGAGTATCAATGGCAACGGCATCAACGCACATAATGCCTGAAAATAGTCGCCTCTTTTATATACAAGACCGAACCACTGGCGCACAATTCTTAGTTGACACTGGAGCGGAAATTAGCGTAGTACCTCCATTTAACGAGGAAAGAAAAAACATTAATCCGTCATTAGTGCTAAGAGCAGCAAACAAATCAGATATTAAGACATATGGCAAACGGAAATTGTCCCTAGATTTTGGACGTGGCGCTTCATACCGTTGGAACTTTGTCATAGCAGACGTATCGATGCCCATAATAGGCATAGATTTCTTATGTAATTTTGACCTGCTAGTAGACTCTAGACGACACAGACTTATAAACGGCAGTCAAACCACTTCGATAAGAGGAATACTTACGGAAGCCGTTTCAATGAACCTTGTGATAGATAAAAGTCGTGGTGATCCATATAAATTGTTGTTAAGGGAGTTCCCTGAACTCGTAAAAGTAACATACAATAAAGTGGATCTCAAACATTCTATTCAGCATCACATCGTAACGAATGGTCCACCAATCAATGCAAGACTAAGAAGGTTAGATCCCAAAAGACTATCCATCGCAAAACAGGAATTCGACAAGCAATGAGGCTAGGGATTATAAGGCCATCGAGCACCCCGTGGGCATCCCCGCTACATATGGCCCCGAAAAAGAATGGAGAGGTTAGGCCATGTGGAGATTACAGAGCACTGAACAAACAAACAGTAGCTGACAGATACCCTATACCGCACATCCATGATTTCACCTACAGTATAGAGGGCACTACTATCTTCTCGAAGATCGACTTAGTCAGAGCATACTACCACATCCCTGTTGCCCCACAAGACATACCGAAGACAGCAGTAACAACCCCATTTGGGCTATATGAATTCCTGCGTATGCCTTTTGGACTGACTAACGCGGCACAAACCTTTAAACGATTTATCGACCAGGTTGTGGAGACATGACTGACAAGCCTATTTTGTAAATAGTTTTCAATGTTATTTCTATTTGTTTTGTCAATTTTTCACTGTATGTACATTTATCATTAAATGACTGTACGTGTTGTTTTAGTCAATGACCTTGAACACTTTTTCCGTTGTGTTATTAACATAGCGTGACATACTTTCGGTGGTTCGCAAATACACTACTACGCACATACCCATTGTTCTATTCTCGCTCGCTACCGAGTCAATTGTGTTCTAAACTGGATATTATCCTCATTTTAGACTGCTGTGTCATTTCCATTATATCACACGTCAAAGAAACTTATTGGTGTCAAATTCACCTCCGTGGAATTATTACACATTTATAATTGTGGATTTATGGGACCAAAACTCAACAGAATACGCAACCACTAGCCGATTTAAGTAACGTCCCTGAACTTTTAATTTGTGTTGTTAATTTATAAATTATTATTGTTACATTAATTTTGAACGTAATAACTTTATCACTGATTTTTGGTTATTATACTTTTTGGTCCACCACAAGGTCATTAGAGGTTTACCTGGGGTATACGCGTATATCGACGATTTATTAGTAGCTAGCACCACTAAAGATGAGCATATACAACAACTACGGCAATTATTTAAGCGACTCAGAGAACATGGTATTTCTATAAATATTGAGAAGTGTGAATTCGGAAAAGAATCTTTACAGTTCCTAGGTCACAATATAACTTCTCAAGGCATCACACCAATAGCAACAGAAGTCGACGCCATCAGAAATTATCCGCTACCCGACTCATGGAAAACGTTACGCCGATTTCTCGGGTTAATAAATTATTACAGACGATTTATCCCGAATTGTGCGTCAATATTGCAACCACTAACAGATGCATTACGCGGAAACGCACGGACATTCCAATTATCACCAGACGCGATTCAAGCATTCGAGAACGCTAAAAAAGCACTAAATAAAGAAGTGACATTAACTAGACGAAAGAGCAAAACACCGTTAGCTATCATGACGGATGCATCAGACGTAGCGGTAGGAGCCGTTTTACAACAATTAGTAAATGGCATATGGGAACCGCTCTCATTTTTTTCGAAAAGACTGAATCCGACACAAACAAGATATAGTACTTTCGGAAGAGAACTCCTAGCTATTTACTTGGCAATAAAACATTTCCGACATATGATTGAGGGTACCATTTTCACAGTATATACAGACCATAAACCCCTCACAAAAGCATTAAACGCCAAACAGGACAACTACTCGCCGAGGGAAATCCGACAATTAGAATTTATTTCCCAATTCACGTCCAACATACAGTATGTCAAGGGCAATAGTAACGAAGTGGCAGACGCGTTATCCAGAACGATGGTCAACGCTCTCATCCAGTCTGAAATCGATTATCACAAGTTAGCAGCATTACAAAATATCGACGTCGAGTTAAACAGACTAAAGTCTGCCAATACAACCTCGCTAGTTCTCAAAGAAACTCCATTGGAAGAAGTAAGCATCACCTGCGATATTTCTACAGGTCAACCAACACCATTTATTCCAAAGCCATTAAGGCGAAACATTTTCGAAGCCATGCACAATATTTCGCATCCCGGAATAAAGGCCACCATCAAACTAATCAGCGAACGTTTTGTATGGCCAAGTATGAATCGGGATATTCGTAATTGGACGCAAGCGTGTATAAAATGCCAGAGAGTTAAGATACATCGCCACACCAGTTCCGCAGTAGGTCATTTCCGTCATCCCGATAACAGATTCGAGCACGTACATATCGATATTATAGGACCACTGCCGGTTTCGAGTGGCTTCAGTTACATTTTCACTTGTATTGATAGATTCACACGATGGCCTGTAGCTGTGCCCATAAAAGATATTACAGCCGAAACGATCGCAAAAACCCTAGTAGAGCATTGGATTTCCCATTATGGCGTACCTACTAACATTACAACCGATAGAGGAGCTCATTTCGAGAGCCGCCTCTTCCAACAACTCACAGAACTACTCGGAATCAAACGAATTCGCACAACATCCTACCATCCGATGTCGAATGGTATGGTAGAGAGATTGCATCGGCAACTTAAAGCTTCTCTTACAGCTTTCATCAGCAATAACGATTGGGCCAGCAAGCTACCGTTAGTCATGTTGAGCTTAAGATCAACAGTCAAACAAGATATAGAATGCTGCCCAGCAGAGTTGGTTTATGGAACCACACTACGTCTGCCAGGAGAGTTTTTCACCGCAGGTAAAAGCGTCTCAACTGATATAGCGGACTATGTACAGCGTCTTAAGCAGCATATGAGTAGTCTAAGGATAACGCTTCCAAGACAACATCAACGCCGTGTCTACATACCCAAACAACTAAGTGACAGTACCCATGTGTTTATCAGAAGGGATAATGTGCAACGTCCCTTACAACCGGCCTACGATGGTCCATTTAAGGTGATTAAAAGAGACGACAAAACTATTACTGTAGACAAAGCTGGAAAAACGGATGTAATTAGCATCGACCGAGTCAAACCAGCTTTCATCGAAGCCTACGATCAGCCAGTACATGCAGATACTGCGAAAACCGTTGAATCATCGAAACGTCAGTTCCAATCATCAACGACATCGACGAACACAAACAAAGAGAATCCAGTAACCACAAAGTCTGGTCGAAGAGTAAGATGGCCCCAACGTTATGTCGCTGCAATCTTCTATTAATAATTTTCTACTATTTTAAATATTAATTATAACTTCCACTTCATTGTATACACATGCATTACTAATTTCATGTTATACGCTATAAAACTCAACATATCTTATGTACCCCTACACTTACACGTATAATTTTTGTTTAAAATGTAAAAACAATACCGCATTCCTTCTATTTATTGCTATTATTTTTTATAACCTCACGGACGGACACAAACCAAATGTACAGCACACACTAACTTCATCTTAATTTTGTACAAACCATTTTTTTTCAAACGATTGTAACTACCCTATTCAGTTTACTATTTTTTTGTGCAAACACAGACATTTTTCCATATATCTTTGTTTGCAGGGGGGAGCTATTATAGCGACTCACGTGCAATTGAGTTTAGTTCAGTCAAGGTCTTTTGTTGACCTATTTAATGGGCAAAGTCATCCATGATATAACAACTTGTTGTACTATCTTTATTATTATGCTTGTATGAAATACATATGCTTGAACATTGTTTAGCGCCTACGCATGTATTCATTCTGCTAGCTTCATTATTAACTGCTTAATCTATTCGCTGACTCATCCATTTTCCTATACACATATATATGTGTACATTTGCATCCATTCACTACTACTACTACAACTACTTGCTACTGCTACAATCGTAGTTCGCTTGCTCATTCATTTTGCCTCTCTGCTGTCTGGTCCGAATTATCTACTAAATAAACTGTAGTAGCTGCTTCTTTTTGCCTTCTGATTTCAAACATCGTTGAAGATTATACGATAACGGTTCGAGGGTGATTAATTATCGAAGCACAGCCACTACAGCATACCATTATTCCATTTTCGTTGATGATTATGTTGAACTGGATTCTGTATACTACTTAGATATTAAGATAAACAGTATGTTGAAGTGTTTGTGAAATCCACTATGTGTCTTAACTGTAGATGCCTAGATTTCATTAATAGTCAACTAGGAAACAATTATACTCCATCTAGCAGACATTCCATCATTCTTGCAGTCTTTATAGTTCTACTAGGTTCTTTGATTCTTAGATTTATTATCTACTTCAATCTTTAACTTTATTAGCTTGATTTGGTTCTTCGAACATCCAACAGTTAAAACTAGTATTCTTTCAAAGAAAACTGTATAAGTTCATGTTATCTGTACAGAAGTTTAGTTTAAGACTATAATATGACTGATTATAATGTGACCTGAGTTCATTGTTAAAGAATTCGTTGTTTGATAAGTTGTTTTCAGCATTTTCAACCAACCTTCCGTTCATTTTGTCAAGACGTACTGTATAGAACAGTGTAATTTTCATTAAATCTAAATTTCACTATATTTTGGTCCACCCCTCCACGAAAGGTAACAGGCGTATGTAAGTAAGCAAGTAAGTGTGATACAGGATTGAGCTATACTGTTTAAGTCGCAATGTAAAAGCATGGATGGTGTCTGATTCTCCTGGAAAGGGGCATAAAATTACCCTCTCTGAGAATATATTCACTAGGTCTTTTTCTAGCTGTGCTGTACTAACATGTTCATGAAAGATATATATTTAAAAAAAAACTAGGCGATTGAAATGAAATCTTTGGTGAAACCTTCACTCAAATATACAGGAAACCCTTTAAATAACATGGGAAATGTCCCAAAATGTCGGAAAAATCACTTATTGAATGTTGAAAATTTCGTGGATAACCTTTGTCAGAAATTGACACAGCATCGTCAACTGTGGCAATTCAGTTTAAGGCTCACCAAGTTATTGTAACTTTAAATGAGTGTCTTCTTACAGAAAACCATGAAGTTGAATGATGCATTTATCACTTCAGTGATGAATCAAAACTTTACAACCATATTGATGTAAATAAATAGTCTTTTATCTGTTCAATGATTAGTATAAGATAAAAGATTTTCTTCAGAATCCATACGTATACTACCATGCAACTATTTAATATTACTATAACGCTCTTATGTTTAATGTCCTAATTTGTTCTATGTATTATGCGGCATTGCAAGTAATGTAACCAATAGATGACTTCCTTCCTGTTATTTATTTCAGAATGCGAAATGTTTCAGTAACTGTTAATCCGTTTTCCATTTGACTAGATTTTCAGAATAATAAACTTTATTAAAACTAATCTCAAATGTCTTGTAACTTACTATCACATCCTTGAGTTCCAGCTTCTTGACCATTTGAACAGCGACAACTGTACGTTCCAGGTTCATTAATACATTTTGATCCAAGCGGACACTGAGAAATTCCGATAGCACATTCATCAATATCAACACATTCAATAATATTTGATTCAGGTGTACCCATCGCACGGTATCCTTGTGGGCATGCAGGTTGGCAACGAAAACTGCCTGGTATATTTACACATCGTTCATTTTCACTACATTGATAAGCTCCAGATAGACATTCGTCAATATCTGAATTTTAACATTTGTCATTAAATTAGGAATTTTAATATTTTACATATGAATTCATTGGATGGCATAATAGAACTGCCCTGAACCTACCCATATTGTTTGTGTCAGGATAAAATATCTAACATGTCTCCAATTTATTCAAAAGTCTATTACTGAAATAAGTTATGAATTATGAAGAAATTTGAACGGACTTGAAAGTGATATTCATGTCTAGTCACTTATACGGTATACGAATCCTACTTTTGACAATGAAATCTGGAAGTATTTGTTATGTCTGCTAATAATAAACCCAGTCCAAGTCTATACGGCAACTTGAATACAAGATAAAAGGAGCGAATTACGAAAAGAACGCTGTACTCTAAGGTTAGTTTGTGTACAGAATATGAAGGTATTAATAGAATTACATATGTGCCTTAGCTTCTGGAATTTTCTTGGACTATACTAGATATAATAGTAGTATGGGTAAATAGCCAGTTCAAAACATGGGACGCGACTCTTCACTTCCTAGATGTTTCTGAGAGTCTTTTATCGTATATCTATTGTATAAAGTGTTTCCAATGGTTTTCTGGAACCTTATGAACTTTTCAGAGGAATACTTTGGAATTACCCAAAAGTATTCTAATGAAATATTGAATTTACTAGGTTGACAGGATAATCATAAATGTGAAAACATCCTAGAGAGTCTAGACTAAATGCATCAAAACTTTAGAAGACAGACTATTCATCCAACTTGTACAATATAAAAGCTACACTTATTAGTATTTGCAAATGTAAGAATGCATAAAGTTGACGAGTAATCTTTGTATGTAAAATAAAGTGAGGTATTTGTGAGATTCTATCTTTAAACTAAGGTTTGTAGAATTTAGTAGAATATTATTGTACATGGCTGGACAGCTTGGTTGAAGAACGATAAGACTAGAAGCAACAAGCCCAAAGTCCGAAGGCGAAGTCGCACTACTGACTGTACGGACGTGTGATGGCAGTAAGGTGTTTCTTCCAGACACCCAGCTTAACGGCGATGCTGCCACAAGGAGGGGTGGGGTTAGAAAAGGTCGACCCTAAAAATGCACACCTCATCTTATCCCATGGATATCCGTTTCCTGCGGTAAGGTTTCAACAAGTACTGAGCTAAAACAAAAATCACTCACAAAATGGTCGTGTGTGACCGACCTCATGCAGTTGTCTTTTGGGTACTGCGGTCACGGTCTCAGGTCACCAAGACCACGTTTAGTCCAATTTCTTTTTCAGGTACCTCTGGAAGATGTCTTCCACGGTGTGAGCAACCGGAAAGTGAGAACTGCCCTCATACCTCTAACAGAACTCAAGGTTTGATAAACCTTCTGTAGCGTACATCGAACTCGAAACACAGTCTGGACATATGAAGTATAAACTTAGAGTCTAGTTTATTTGCCAAATGATTCACACTTGAGTAATCAGTTTTAAACATTTGTAGATAAATAAAAACCATTTTTTAAAGATTATTTAAAAAGTATTATCTTACCTTGACATACTTCACCTATTCGTTTGTAACCTGGTAAACAAATACATTGATAACCTCCGAAGGTATTCACACATGTATGAGGTCCACAAATACCTGGTCCATTTTGACATTCATCAATATCTTTTAATTATTTTTAACAGAGTTAGATTGCAAAAAAACACAAAATATAATTAGTAACAGATTAGAGGATATTTTTTTTGGGAGGGGGGAACAAGTATCATATGTTTTATCAGTCAGAAAATCCATATGAGGTATTTTATATGAATCATAAAACTAATTCCAATTTTATAAGCATAGGAACCAAATAATGGAATAAAATATTAATATAACTATTCAGAAAGAATCTCCGACTGGAGCCCCTCTGGGGTTACTGCCGGTCCCAGGTTTGAACAAAGGAGGAGGGTTGAGCATAGGGAAGGGAACCTGATGATATCATTCTGAACTGAATAAGCTCTAATACTCCTCTGATTATGTATACTTGGTAAATGAAAAGAATGGGAGTGTTACTGTCTCATCATCAATGGAAATCCACTCACATTAAACAGTTTGTTTTACATTAAGTTTAACTAATAATGAATATATACTATTGATGAAATAAGTAACAAGACGGCAAATGATAACTACTACTGCTCTTTTAATTAGCTTAGTAGAGTATATAGTGAAATTCGCACGTGGCTGACAAAAGGAAATGCATTCTATTCTACAACGAAAATGATATAGCATAAAAATGAAATTAAAAGATAGGGGTTAATTCCTTCGCATGTGAATTCCATTTGAAACATACATAAGAATTTGTTCTTCTTCCTTTTGTATGAAGTAAGCTTTCAAATAAATCATTTCATTAATGATTCAATGGATAATAGGTACTCTTTCATGATTACCTAATTCTATCAGACTGTGAATCTTGAAGAAGTTTGAAGCAGTTGTTTAGCGGATAAAAAAAATGCCAGAGCTTTGCATCTAAAGGAAATATATATTCAGCCGCTCGTTTTACCCTGGTCAACTTCAGGGTCAACATAATTTGATAAATGTTCATTTTTGTGTCCCAAACTTATTATTATTATTACACTTGCTAATCTTTTTGAGAAGTTTATTCAGCATCCACCCCTATCTACTAATTCTTTCTTAATTCATATTATTCTACACATTGCGTAATTTCTGTTTTGTAATTATACTGTTCTCTCTCCCTCTCTCTCACCCCATGTTAATCATATTCCGATCATTTATCTGAAAATTTCATTTCATTTTAATAGTTCAGATCACGAGATCATGTTGATCAAGCTTCAATTGACTCGTGATCTCAACTATTAAAATTACTATATAATATCCACAATACCCCTTCTGAATTTCATTTCATTTATGAATTGATTCAAGTTAGTCATCCAAATATTAACGAGTTCACTTGATTTGATTTAATATGCCAAACAATCCTTCATTTACGTGTTACAATTAAAGCTAAATCACGATGGAAAACCTAGAATCACTAGACGGCCATTTTGTTCTAATATGGGACTCTTCAACAGTTTGCATCCACGAACCCACACAGCGAGATTCGAACCCAGAACATATCGGTCTGGCGCACGAACGCTTAACTTCTAGATCACTGTGCCAGGCGGCATCCAACGATATTAATGTCTAACTTCAATCAAACCAATTTGGATATATGATTGTAAAACCTGATGAGAAATTATTGCAAAATATATCCTTCGTTCATATAGTTGTGTTTTAGTAGAATGGGGATTTTTCAACAATATAAGTTTCTAAAAAATATCATGAATTTAATTCTTGCAATTTTTCAGTATACATTGTTAAATGTAACTACAAGCTAAACAATAAATTGACCTTTTCTTCTTCTTCTTCATTGAACGCGTTTGTTGAAGCATTAATATCTTTCTCTGAGGTAGGAAATAGTGATTATGAACCTTGGAAAATCAGAAAGCTAACCATAACAACCATATACATTCTAGTGTCGTAGCGTTTTCAACGATAGGTTCTGAATTTTATCATTCTATTTTCTAACAATCTAACATCGGGAATGAATATGTTAGGACCATTTTAAATGTTCCTCAAGGTCATTGGTAAATTATAATTTCTCCCAATTGATCTTTAAGCATCATTTGTCATTAGTTCATATTCAGAAATCTGAGAACTAGCTTCTTTTCATTTAATCCAGTATGATTTATAACACAATCAAGATCTTGATGGCGTTTTGTTCTCTGAGCTGGATGGTTTGGTCGTGGAGCTTTCATCGTTCTTCTGAACGCCATCATCAGCATAAACTTCATTCAAGATTATATATTCATGATATTCACGTTGTTGTTAGAAGTACTGCCTAAGTGGTCATCATTCTGATTGTTTTCATACACATGTGGTTAATTTAGTAAAGTATCCATATAAAATTCTAAAACAAACTCATATGAAAAGATGATGAGTTGGGATCTAACTGATAGTTAGATCTTCTCTTCTGGCTTTTTTTTAATCTTTAAAATAAATTCCTATATGATATTCATCAATAGTATGTTTATTACCTTCACAACGATCCATTATAGGATTTTCTTTAAACCGGGTCCACAAACATGTTTACATTCATAACTTCCATGAGTATTAATACATCTTTGTCCATATGGGCAAATAGTTTCATTATTTCCACTTATAGAGCATTCATCAATATCAATACAAGAATGTCCATCAACTGATAAGCGATAACCTTTATGACATGTACATGTATAGTAAGGTACAGTATTTTTACATACATGATCACATTTATTCAAATTTGGAAAAGCGCATTCATCTACATCTGAAAAATGAGAATAAAATACAAAACATTCGTTATTTCAACTACAAATCATTTACTATTGAAAATTTGGAATCAATGGATGGATGCGTGTGCAATCGTAGATGGGCACTGCTGAGGAGTCTCATACTAAGACGAAACAACCATTCAATTCTTCCAAGTTTTCAATGATAGTTTAATATTGATCGTTTGCTGATCTCAATGAAAACCTAACAATCTCTACAACTCTATATTGATATTTATGAATTTTGGTGAGTTAATCAATGTTAGGTAGATAAAAATAGAATAGAAAGAAATGAACTGCATTAAAATGTGATTATTTTATAATCAATCTGTTATTTTCCAATTGAAAGTTTTGATGTTAAGTCATTTTATCATATCTGGTAATCAGTCTAAATCTGAGTAAATCGATAGGTCCCCTTTATTATTCAACTACTATAATGTTTCAGTAACATTATTCAAGAAAAACCAAAGTAGACAATGAACACTTAACGTTAGCGTTTTTTAGCCAGTTAGTTTTCTACGGGATGGGACGGTAACACCATGCCTAACACTCCTCCTTTACCCGGGCTTGACACTGGCAGTAACTCTAGAAAAGCTACAGGCTGAGAATCAGATGCAGATGTAAAGGCGAGGATTGGCAAAGCAAGGGCCGTATTCCTACATCTGAAGAACATGTGGAACTCAAAACAACTGTCTGTCAACTAATATCAAAGTCACAATCTTCAATACGAACGTCGACATAATCAGTTCTACTGTACGGAGCTGAAACTTGGAGAACTTCTACAATCATCATTAAGATGGTACAAGTATTTATAAATAGTTGTCTACGCAAGATACCCAACATTCATTGACCAGATACCATCAGCAACAGTCTTCTCTGGGAGAGAACAAACCGGCTTTCAGATGAAGAGGAAATTCGGAAAAGACGATGGAAATGGAAAAGACATACATTACTTAAATCATCAAACTGCATCACGAGACATGTGCTAACTTGGAATCCTCAAAGGAAGCATAAAAGAGAAAGACCAAAGAACGTATTACGTTGGGAAGCAGATTTGAAACGAATAAATAACAACTGAAAAGGGCTGGAAAGGATTGCCTAGGACGGAGTTGGATGGAGTATGCTGATGGGCGGCCTATACTTTTCCACGAGGAGTAACAGGCGTAAGTAAGTAAGAACACTTAACGCTCAGATTATATTATATTGTTTATAACTATGGTTTGTAAGAAAAAAATTAGATCAAATGGTGTTAAATATGACATTTACCTTTACAATAATCTCGTCTTCTTTGTAATCTAATACTTGTTCCAGTGATTCTAGCTTGATTCAATTCAAAACCAGATGGACAAACATCTGGACCAATAGGTTTTTTTATGATACTTTCAGCGTAAAACTCAACTTGTCCAGTTTGTAAATTTACTTTATTTTCTATTCCATTGATATAAAGTTCTTGAGTTAAATAAGTTTGTCTTCTTTCTGGACCAATTTGGATTGTAGAAATCCATGAGTAAGGTTCCATTTGTGATTTTTCTCTCTCTAAATTATAAACTGTGAATGCTCTGGACGAATGGCTATGAAGACTACCTAATGAGAAAGAATAATAAAGAAATGAGAATATAATCTTTTAGAACAATATCTAAAGAGGGAGTGTCAATTACGAATATGTGTTATCACATATTTTCTAGTTGTTTTTGCTAAATCAAACCCGAATTATTTATCAGAAGGGGGTTTTGTTGAAATCTCAGTAATTTTTCAATTTCAACTCATGAGTTAATTAAAGCTAGACCACTATTGAAAACCTGAAAGCACTGGACGGCCGTTTCATCCTCGTACGGGACTTCCATGGATTGGTTGAAGTTAGACATCAATATCGTTGAACGCCAGCTTGCACAGTGACCTAGAAGTTAAGCGTTCGTGCTCGAGATCGATAGGGTTCGAATCTCGCTGGGAGGGTTCGTGGATGTACACTGCTGACGAGTCCCACAGTAGGAGGGAATGGACGTCCAGTGCTTATGAGTGTTTAAAGATTGAAAAAACTAACAACATCGGCCATTAATAACACGGCCTGAAATGTATCTAAATAGAATATACATAATTCTGAGTCAGTCAGCTACAACGTAGGACCAGGCACATATATGCATCGGTCCAAGTTGGCATACCGCATAAGCACAACAAGACGAACACCGGATTCATAGTAGTAGTTAATTCAGTGGTGGTAATATATAAAAGAATGATTGCATATAAGGGCTTAGTACAAGAAGATTTAGTACATAGAAAGATATGAAGCGATTTTAATTTCATAGTTTAAGGGAAGACAGAGAGTGTATACACCGACGCCATTGTGATCCATTCTGACCCATATCACACACAGTCTTCAACGATTGGTTACGATAGTCACGTGGATCCTAATCAAGTAGTCTGCATCTGCCGACATGGCCCATTCCAGAAGTTAGTGACTTCAAGCACTGATGCCACGTTTTGATTTGACCGCCCCTAACTTTCTTCCAACAGTCTCCAATACAAGTCAGCATTGTTCGTCTTGATAATCGGTGTTCAGGTGTACGCAACACGTGGCCCAACCATCTCAGTCGATGAAGATTCAGAACCTCAACAACTGATTTACCATCATTCCCTAATACCCTGCGTCTAATCTGAGTGAATCTTAGACGCATTGAAATAACTTAATATTAATTATTGTTAAGTTGTTTTACATTGTTCCTATATGTTCCTTTTCTACTCTTTTGTATGTTGTTTTATACTACTTATTTACATTCAGTAGGCAGCTGTATACCCAACAATTTTCACACTTATGTTGTAACTCAAGTTGTACTGTAACATTCTGGAATGTTCACATATATCTTTAATGTTTATTTTACTTATAATTGTATTTATCATTATAATCACTGTAATTTAATTACTGTAAAGGTTATCCACAGTTTTATGCATTTGTTTGAATGCAACAGTTTCCATATTGTTTGCTCTTGGTTCGAGTTTCGGTTGTTCATAAACTGTTACCAAATTTAGACACAGCTATCGGCTGTCTTTGGACTATCGTATGTTGTAATCATTCTTTATGTTACTCTTACAGGAAGCCTTTGCTATTTTCATTCTTGAACGACGCGTTTAAACGCCTAGACACCTCACAAGTTGAGGTTTGTAACTAAATTTTGTGTATTATTTAATAAAGAACCGCTTTTGTAGACAAATCGTTGTTTTGGAACTTCGGTTTTGCGCGTATCTCAGTCGGGGTTATTTGGACGCTTCGATAGAATTAACAGTTCTCAACTTTGGTCTCATTTGGTCTGGATACAGTTCTGAACTTTGGTCCTAATTGGAGGGAACACTTTCTGTAACGAAATTTGGTCGGAATTCTGTTTGGTTCATTCATCCCAACGATGACTAGAACAAGAAGAATGAAGTACAACGATGACAGTTCCCAAGACACAGACGATTCCAGTGCTGAAAATATTATTCCTTCAGTTTCTAAGGTGAATTCACCTATTCCTTTAAATCTTGCCTTTGTTATTGTTAAACCTAACCCCAAAGACAGTTGCTCGGTAGGAGACAACTATGTAGAGACTAGATACAGCGTAGAAGACGAAATGGTTTCTAGGGAAAAAGAAGTAGAAAAGATTGAGCTGGAGATAAGAGAACTCCAACTACGCAAGCGATTGTTAGAGCTAACTCCGAACTCTTCAAACAAAGTGAGAAGACCTAGGGAGACTACCGAGTTGTCGGGGTCTCGATCCGAAGATAAAACTTCAGCAGTTACAGCAAGTCACCGATACACCAATGTACTTTCGAGTGATGAAATGCAATTCAAAGCACAGGTAGATAGTGTCAAGTCGCTATGTATGTCAGTAAGCTTACCGAAGATAGAAATCATGAAATTTGACGGGAGTCCTCTGAAATTTTGGACGTTCATGAAGGGATTCAAGGTTAACATAGCTGACAGAGTAAATGATGACACTCAGAAATTAATGTACCTGATACACTATTGCGAAGGTATAGCAAAGGATGCTATAGGACACTGTGTTTTATTACCAGAAAAAGAAGGTTATACTGAGGCAATTAAAATTCTACATGAACGGTTCGGCAGACCACATGACATCGTAGAAGCCTTCTTAACAAAACTGTTAAGTGGATCACCATTGAATCAAGACGACATAACGGGCCTTCAGAAACTGACAAGACTCATGACTAACTGTAAGATAGCCTTGTCACAGATGGGCAGAAATGCCGATCTGGATTGTTCGACCAACATAAAACGAATAGTGAAACAACTACCACGTAGTATACAGTTTAAATGGGCGGAGGCCGCAGACGATATTTTAAGAAAGGGGCTAGAGCCCAATTTTGATGATTTATTGCAATTCTTAGAAAAGAAAGTGTCAATCGCCACAAACACATACGGACAGTTAGCAAGCGGAAGCTATAAAGCTCAAACGACATCGAACAACCGGTCGGCTTCGATAAGAGCTAAGATCCATACTTTGTCGATTAAAGGATCAGTCCATTGTGTAATTTGCTCCGATGTCCACGAAGTCGCATCTTGCCCTCAGCTGCTGGCAGTAAGTCACAACGAAAAAGTAGAATTGCTGAAGAAGTTTAAACTTTGCTTTAATTGCTTAAAACCCAATCATCGAGCCACAGACTGCAGACAGCCCGTGTTGTGTGAAATTGATGGATGCAAGCGACGCCACCATAGAATTCTTCACAACACAGAACCTGATGCTAAACAAGCATGTTGTAACTCTACTCATACTACTGGGACGTATTTAGGCTTTGTACCAGTCAGGCTACATGGTCCTACAGGTTATGTGGATACCTATGCATTGTTAGATAATGGCTCAGACTCGACATTACTGCTTAGTGACGTGGCAAAGCAGGTAGGAATTTCTGGTACAGTGACAAGATTAAACATATCTTCAGTAATTGGAGCGTCATCTCAGAACGCTGAACTTACCATTTTCGAAATTGAGTCTTTAGATAAGACCAACCGAATAAAAATCGAAGGTGCATATACTATAGATAACCTACCTATTAAAAGAGCAGAAATCCCACCAACGGACTTCCAAGAAAGATGGAAACACTTGAAAGGTGTACAACTACCCACCATAGCCTGTGACAAGGTTGGTTTGTTACTTGGTGTTGACGTTCCAGAGGCCCACTGGGTACTCGATCAGAGTATCGGAAAACCTAAACAACCCTATGCCTCACTAACCATGTTAGGGTGGGCTTTATTTGGACCAACGGGTCAACTTAATAAAACTTCAGTCTTCATGAACTGTTTAAAAGCGAAAAATTCCTTTGAGGAGGATATTCTCAAATTATCTGAACATGAATTTTCTGAAAATAAATACTCTGATAAGGTTACCATGTCCCTATGTGATAAGACCATTATGGAGATTACTGACAAACAAACAGTATTGCTCGAAGGACATTATCAAGTGCCGATACCCTGGAAGGTGGATTGGCACTCACTTCCAAGGAATAAGCGCGAAATAGAAAAACGATTAATTTACCTACGAAAAAGGTTGCTAAAAGACGAACAGCTTCGGAAACAGTATACTATTATATTAGCTACCCACGAAAGTAAAGGATATTTGTTTCGAGTAACTCAAGCTATCGAAGAAGAAAGGTATTTTATTCCACATCATCCCGTATTTAACCCTAAAAAACCAGGTAAAGTTCGGATAGTCTTTGATTGTGCTGCTAAGTTACAAAACAGGTCTCTAAATGATTGTATATTTTCTGGACCAGATCTTACAAACGACCTAGTGGGAGTTTTGCTTAGATTCAGAAAGCATAAGATTGGATTGTCAGCAGACACTGAAGAAATGTTCCTCCAGGTACATCTACCCGAAAAGGATACAAAGGCCTTCAGCTTTTTATGGTACCCCGATGGCAATCTTGATTCTCCTCCTGAGGTCTATGAGTTGCATGTACACCCTTTCGGGGCTACGTCCTCACCGTTTTGCGCTACCTATGCTTTAAGACGTACAGCTACAGACCACCGAGATTTGTTCGATGAAAAAACACAGTCCACCTTACGAGAAAATTTTTATGTAGACGATTGTCTAGTCTCAGTAGAAACAATATCAGAAGCTGCTGAGTTAGCAAAGAATCTAGTGAGACTCGTGGCACTTGGAGGCTTCCGTTTACATAAATGGGTTAGTAACGTAAATGAAGCGCTGAATGACGTCCCTATAGGTGATAGATCAAACAATTCAGTTCGTATACCAGGTTCAACAGAACGTATACAGAGATTTTTTTTTTTTTTTTTTTTTTTTTTTTTTTTTTTTTTTTTTTTTTTTTTTTTTTTTTTTTTTTTTTTTTTTTTTTTTTTTTTTTTTTTTTTTTTTTTTTTTTTTTTTTTTTTTTTTTTTTTTTTTTTTTTTTTTTTTTTTTTTTTTTTTTTTTTTTTTTTTTTTTTTTTTTTTTTTTTTTTTTTTTTTTTTTTTTTTTTTTTTTTTTTTTTTTTTTTTTTTTTTTTTTTTTTTTTTTTTTTTTTTTTTTTTTTTTTTTTTTTTTTTTTTTTTTTTTTTTTTTTTTTCCACAGTAGCGCCTGAAAACTCTCCAAATCGTTTGTTGCCGTTCATAGATGATCCTGGTTTATGCCTTAAACACTCTCCTGATGTGTCACTCTTAGTCGATGATGATGATGTACGCTTACTCATAGTAACAGCAGCCGCTGTTGAGACTGAAGATTCCAGAGTTCATCAAGGTTTACCGTCAGTTCGTTCTTTTGGATTTAACACTCCACCTGATTCAAGAAGTAACCGACTTATAGACACCTTTGATCCTGTATCTAAAGCGACAGACGAGAATTTAATGGATTTAGAACAAGTTATTTCATTACCAGCTGTTGACGATGAGTACCTTCTAAAAACTGCCAACGATCGTCATGTCGATACAGCAGTGAATATTGACCTTAGATGTATTTCTCCTCCAGACAAAATTCTTCTAACAGATAGCGGCGAGTTAATGTCATCGAAAACATCTGTTATGTTCTCTGCCGAAACAGATCTCCCTAGTGTTTCTGACGTGAACGATAGTGCTAAGTCTGTGATACTACTACACGAGTCATCAATTAGTTGCAAAGCAACAACAACTCAGTTCTCTGCAAATATGAAACTTGTATCTCCTGTAGTGGCGTCTGCTGAGAGTTCTATTGACATCAAGCGTGAAACAGAGAATCAGAAAGATGATTGTTTTATTCAGTATGCTGATGATGATAAGAAGTTTAAGACAACTGTATCCATGTCTCCTTTAGTTGGGTTAGACAAGCAGACACAACATCCATTACCAGACTTTAAGGATAGTAGAGTAGCCGAAGAAATGACTCATCGGAACATAGAATGGCACCATAACACTCCTTACGCAAATCATCATCGAGTATGGGAAAGATTAATAGGAAGCATACGCAGACCTTTGAGCGCAGTATCTATGTCCTACGAGACACTCACCACCTGTTTGGCTGAAGCAGAAAGAATACCTAATGGTAGACCACTCTTACAGACGCGAACAAAATGGACACAAGGAAGACGAGATTTACAAGTTCGCGGTCCAGTCTTGATTATTGAGGACACTTATGCACGAAATAACTGGTCTAAAGGCCTCGTGGTAAGTTTTGACCCAGGAGGAGATGGTCTATGGAACCAAGCGAAGATCAGAACGTGGAAGGGTACAATTATTTTTTTTTTTTTTTTTTTTTGTTTATAAGAAGGAGCTGATGACCGAAAAGTAGAGGATAGAGAGACTTTTCAGAGTGACTGTGGCTAGAGTAAATCGTACCATTGTCACCTCTGAATGTTTTTATGTTAATACCTAATCAGCGAAAGTAAGGAAAGACATGCTGTCTTTGGGGGGCGGTGTTAAGTTTGTTTTACATTGTTCCTATATGTTCCTTTTCTACTCTTTTGTATGTTGTTTTATACTACTTATTTACATTCAGTAGGCAGCTGTATACCCAACAATTTTCACACTTATGTTGTAACTCAAGTTGTACTGTAACATTCTGGAATGTTCACATATATCTTTAATGTTTATTTTACTTATAATTGTATTTATCATTATAATCACTGTAATTTAATTACTGTAAAGGTTATCCACAGTTTTATGCATTTGTTTGAATGCAACAGTTTCCATATTGTTTGCTCTTGGTTCGAGTTTCGGTTGTTCATAAACTGTTACCAAATTTAGACACAGCTATCGGCTGTCTTTGGACTATCGTATGTTGTAATCATTCTTTATGTTACTCTTACAGGAAGCCTTTGCTATTTTCATTCTTGAACGACGCGTTTAAACGCCTAGACACCTCCCAAGTTGAGGTTTGTAACTAAATTTTGTGTATTATTTAATAAAGAACCGCTTTTGTAGACAAATCGTTGTTTTGGAACTTCGATTTTGCGCGTATCTCAATCGGGGTTATTTGGACGCTTCGATAGAATTAACAACTATCGTAAGTAGTTCGTTAGTTTTTATGCAAAACAAAGTTACTTGCCTTTTTGAGGGCTTTATTGTACCAGGTTTTCATGAGAATCATGTAGTTCAACTTCAGAACTTGAAGTTGTCTTAGGATCAATTAAAGACGATGTACAAGATCCAGATAAATAAATATCCGTTGTAAGATGAACAATGAATTTATTTGAAGGTGACACAACTGAATCATTTGATCGTAATACACTTTGGTTCATTGTACTGCATTGTACTGCCATCAGCAAACTGACTAACTGATTCCCATGTGATTCCGTTCAATGTATCCATAATTGTATGACCACTAGACGCACCAGATACCTATACATTTCAAAGAAAATGTACATAATATGTGATTATACAATATTTTAACAATAAATCGTTGTTCTTCAATCTATTAGACTTTTGAATACATATTCCTGGTGTAAACCAAAACCCAGAGGGTTTATAAAATCTGATCATATCTACTACACAGACGATAGTAGGCCTTTGTTACTGGCATACGTCATTACAAAATAACTAGAAAAAGCAACTAGAAACTTAGATCCCCACAATAAGGGGTGGGGTTATAAAAGGTCAACCGTTAAAACACACACCTCGTCTTATCCCACGGATATCCGTCTCCGGCGGTAAGGTCTCAACAAGTACGGAGCGAACACGAAAACTACCCACAAAAAGGTCTTGTGTGACCAACCTCAGTCCCGTTCTTGATATTCAAGACGAGATTTTGATCAATCCTTGTTGACTTATGTCCGTGTTGTGTTTTCCACTCCTAGACACAAGTCATATATTTTGTAATATTAGAAAAAAATTTCCATACCAAGATCATTTGGTCAAGATATACTTACGATGGAAAACACAGATCAAAATTTTGTCCTGGATACAAACCATTACTAAAATCAAGAAATATTAACATAATTGACAAATTTATGAATCTTTCTAATCGAACGAAATGACTCACCTCTTTTGCTGCATACCCAGTGCCAGGAAGATAAATTTCAGTTAAAGCTTGTGAACATTGACTACGTTCTATTGGTACATCATTTAAATGGAATTCGTAATTAGTAGAAAGATTTGAAGCAGAAGTGGACAGATTAGCATTAAGATGAATGGTTCCAATGTTCTGATTATTCAGTTGGCCTCAAATAGTTCCAGTTGACAGTCCTTTGTTAACACTACGTAGAATATCTTTTAAATTTCAAGATTTCAGACAGTAAACAAAATTATGTTAGATTAAAAAATACTGCTAGTTACGGAAAAACGAACAGTGATTATCATTAAATGATAAAATGAAATTCAGATGGTAGGCTCCAAGTGACATATATTCGTCTTTTGGCGATGTATGCTGTAGGCAGGGCCCCCAAATGCCCCGGTACGGCCGAGAGTGAAGAGAGTCCGCTCGCTCTCTCGAAATGCTCTCATATGGTCAAATGCATATAACTTCTGCCAGGAAAGTCCTACTCATTGCCTTCTCGTGGCGGGGGGGTTGTTTACAAAATTGAGAGGACGAAAAGCGGATGTTCGGCGCTTTAACCGGGTAGGTGAACACAGAGAGTCCACCTAGGGGAGTTGGAAAACCATGATTCCAAACTGATGGTGCACATGGGCTTTAGGATTCTGAGGGAACAAATGGCGTATGAACCAATCGTTGGTCACCGGCTACCGTGGGACTGCATCTCCTTAAGTTGCTCCACTGCCTTTTGGATTACACCTTCAGGTTGAAGGCTCCGGGTGTGGCCCCTAAGAAAACCACGTGCTTCGGTTTGGGCACCCGGGCTGTATCACGACCCTCACATATATCAAATGAGATCTGTGTGACGCATATGTATTTGGTGCCTTCTTGTACCAATATCTATGTGTTAAAATAAATAAATAAACTGTGGGCAGGACTCTTTAATTACGGAGTTTACATTATTGTTCTAGATTTCAAAATCATCACTTACCTTCATTTGAAGTGACTATGGAACAAATATTTATATGAGAGCCGGTTAGAGTGTATTCGTTTGCAGAAGTTCCAACTCCTAACCCAATAAAAGTACTCACAAAGTTGCCAAATATAGAATGATTACATTTTCATCCTCTATAATGACAATATATAAGCATTCACTGTTTAAGTAGTGAATAACTACTATAATTTATGTTTGACGTTTGAGCGACACTAAAGTGGCCTTGATAGTGTCTACCCAATTACTAGGGCTAAATGAAAGTTGTAAACCTGTGTAAACAATAAGGATTATCATTTATAGTTGATGGTTGAAGTTAAGAATTAAATTAAGGGTTTTCATCACGAATCGACATCAGCTTAAATACGAAAATAGCTATTTAGCCAAATGTATGAATGAATTTCGCGCCAAAATCTAAGACTTGTTTTCCTAAATCTGATTGGTTCGTCCGTAAATTATAGTCTCTCTGTAAATACATCAAAATAGTCGGTTAACAATGAGTAACATTAATCAATTCATTTGATGATAAACTAAGACAGTTTTTTGGTATAAACATGTTTCCATCATACAACTAAATCCTATCTTGACATTTATCTATCAAGTGTACAGTCTTGAATTTCTTCAGCTGAACCTAGACACCCATGGGTTGACTGATTTTTAGGAGATAAAAGTGTATATGTTCGTTCACGACGTTTTATTAATCTTTCTTCCGTTATTTAGCCAACTAACGAGTAGTCAGGTTCATATTCCGACCAAGAAGATCATTCTGATCAAGCAGAAATTATTCCAAGTTCATTGTTTGGACAAAATCCTGAGCTACCACATTTTTGAGTTTCACACGATCTTATTTTGTTTGCTGATCCTCGGCATAGACGTCCATCAAACTGAGGTGGCGGTTGAGTACATTCACGTTCCCTAGTCTGTAGTCCAACATAACAGGTACGCGAATAGGCTGACCATGATGACCAGTTCCACCAATCACCATGAACTAAAGAGGAAAGTATTGTTTTTTTTCCAGAAATCTTTAACAACTAGTAATGAAATATATTCACAAATAACCAAAAGAATTATTCAGTAAAATATCTTTGCATAGATGAAAAATTCTGTTAAAGAGACATTGGGAACCAAACATGTGAATGTTTCTGTTTTATTGAGTTTTAGATATGAATAAAATCAAACTCTTTAGAACATACTTGGACACGCTTTTGACTGACACTCAGAAGTTTCTGTACTTCCTGTTGGTGTACAATCTTCACCTCCATATACTGGAACCGGACTGTCTCATATACGAGTACTACTACATTGACCACTACCACATCTATGTGAACAGTGAGACCAAGGGCTCTATGTCCCCCATCCTCCACTTATTGGACAAGGGCCACGGTTGCAAGCACGTACCTACATTCGGAAAAATTTTGAAACAGCGAGCTCTTGTTCATTATCAAAATTTAAAAATAAATCATTATATGTTTTGGATTTATTATTTTTAAAGATAATTTAGATGTACATCTCTAAGTTCACTTGCTGTTGCATGACAGGTTACATTGGCTGCACAGAGCAAATACTCTTTAAACTCATTTCAGTACATTTCCTGTCATTTCTTTAAATAATGAGAACCCAACGTAATCAGTGGCTTGATACAGGAATATCTCACTAACTTTGGTCATGCTGACTCAAAGAAATCGTCATTCAAATTAATCAACATGGTCAAAAGAATGGGATCAAAAGTAAGTCAAACTTCTGTGGAGTCGGAAATTCACCATTCCAAATCTAAATTCGATATGCTAAAACAATACATACAACCCTATAATCATTCTATAATCCTAGAACCTCTTCCAGGATTATTTTGTCCCTTGTTTCTTATTTTTGTAGTTCCCTCGTTTGTTTTAGCAACCGGTTGTTACTGATTGTTATTCATTTCCCAATATGACTTTTACATTGTTCATTTCTTCTTTATATCTGTTAAGTGAACAGTTTATGTGTCAAATTTCTGATCCGTAAGATTATTTTCATCCTCTTATTATTCTTTGACTTGTCACTCATTATATAACCCTCTTTTGATATTTGAAATTTCGAATCACTTCTTTTTTAATTTCCCTATAGACATATATATTTATCAAACCACTGTAGACGATAATCAACAACTTAAGTAAATGATTTTTGTTGTAACTTGTGGGTTGGTACCCCTAACAATATATGACGTAATGATACCGGCAATTAGAGTGCAGTGAATTATCGATAGTACCAATGACGCACAAAACCCATACGAGCAGTCTAGAGTCCTTATCGGTCCTGCTTCCTGCCTAGACCTAACTGCCTGTTGAGGCAAGAACAGCAATCTCAGCATCTGCGATATAAATCACTTATTTCAAATATATTGGGTTTATATACCAACCTGCCAGACCACATCGTACCATAAAATAGGAAACAACATTTGTACAAGATTTAGCCAAGTGTGGCTGTGAATGTGGGAGATGGTGTTTGATAGACTGGGTAGAACTCAAGAATGGTAAATCGCATTATAATAGCCTGTATGTCAAAATAAAGCATATGATAAGAGGGACATGAATATGCATAGTTTAGTTACTTAACAACTATACAATAAAAATATATGTATAGTATTAGTTCAGAAATAGATTCCAATAATTACCATTCATTAATCTCATCGGGGTATAACAATTTCTTAAAGAAAATTTTCTATACTGAATTCCCTTTATTCAATGACACAATGGGTTAGCTTCACTTATTTACTCCTTTCTCATAGTCCATACAAAACATAAAACTGTTTAAATAATACTAATTACCAATATGGGGTTGTGCAGATTGTTGAGGTTTTGATCGAGATCATGAATCAATCAATGTTGAACTGCCATTGAAAACCTGAGCACTGCTGAGAAGTCCCATACTTGAACAAAACAACCGTCCAGTGTTTCCAGGTTTTCAATGGTGGTCTAACATTGATCGATTTATGAGCTCAATCATAATACTAACTATTACGATTAAACTTGACACTGATTAATCATTTCATAATAAATAATGTGGTGATTAAATTCTACAGATAATGTTGCAATATGATCACTGGTCTAAGTGATTCAACAATGGTTGTTTTATATTTTGGCATAAGTTGATGGTTGAAAGTAACTTCTCATCATGAACTAAACTATTTCGGAAATGATGTTTGTAAGGATGGAATGTTTTGGTTTATTCAAGAGTACTTTTAAGAAGAGGAAGACCAAAGAACACATTACACCGGGAAATGGAAATAGACATGAGTAAAATGAATAAGAATTGGCTGGAACTAGAAAAGAAGGCCCAGGACAGAATGGGTTGGAGAATGCTGGTCGACGGCCTATGCTCCATTAGGAGTAACAGGCGTAAGTAAGTAAGTAACTTTTAAGAATTATCAGAGTTATAACGGAGTAACACATACACGTTGATAAATGAAACCCTAATAACATTGTTCAAACAAATAACAGAATGGTTACTTCATTGCTTGAGGTTGTTAATAAAACTCCTTTACAAAATATAGTTATTTAAGAGTAATAATGAATATGTTAAATATTTTGTATACTCAAAAATGGATGAATAATCTTTGATACATCGTTGTTATTTCTATTGAACCTACCATCAGGTCTTGCCCTGGACATGATGTGCCACCATATGACGGTGTTGGATTATCACATGTTCGTTTACGATTTTGAGTTCCTCCTGTTCCGCATGCTGATGAATAATCAGACCAAGGAGACCATGGTGACTAAATACTGGAATACCTTCACACATCACATCTTCAACAGCTTCACCAACACATGACTTAATAAAGACAAATAAAATTCAAGGAATACATGATTTTCATGTACTCAAGTACAGATTCATGATTTGATAAGCATTGAAATACGCAATTGTGAACATTAAGAGAAACATTTATTTATTTAATCTGTTAACTGATTAGATATGACAAATGTGGTTGCAAACTGTTATAACGTCACACAGTCAATCACATCATATTAATGAAATACTCATTTAGTGAGTTCGAATAATTGCTAAGTAATTTGAAGATTATCAAGATAAAACTCCAGCACATTATATAGACAATTACATTGCTATTGAAAGAGAAATAGTATCATAGATCCTACAAAGTATGGTATCAGAAGATTGATTAATTCATTCTTGTCATCTACAATATCGTTTCTCCTCATACTTCAGAGATATACTATAAGTAGGAGACTGTAAAATCCAAGGTGTTCATTTTGTTTCCGCAAATTTTTCATTGTTAAAATAATCTTTAAATACTAGAAGAATATCATCAGAAATAGTGAAACCACATAGGACAACAGACTTTGAACATACATGATAGTAACTGTGTCGTTTGTATCTCCCCTCAAGAGTAAAAACTTACAGAATCCCGTTTTATTACACTAAACTAATCATTTTGACTCACACAGATCTTTCACAACACACTAGAGATCATCTTTTAAATGAAACTCAAACACTGATGTTAAGTATTAAGTATTGTCGATCTATAGTCTATAAGCAATATGTTGAAAAAAGCCAAAAGATCATTGATAATGTAAATGACCATTCCCAGAACAGTGATGTATATATAGCGACTCACGTGCAAATGGGTTTATTCTCATTTAACTCAGTTAAGCACTTTTGCTAACTTATTCAGCGGACAAAGCCATCCGCACTATAACAGTTTATTGTGCCTTTATTATTATTCTGTGCTTGTATGAAATACGCATGCTTGAATATTGCTTACGGCCTACGCGTTTATTCACTCTGCTAGTCTCACTACTAACCGCTTATTTGATTCGATTACTCATTAATTTCACATGCTATATAAATGTCCAGGTTATTCATATGGCTGACTCTGCTTTTTCGCTCGCTTGATTGTACTCGATTACTTACATTCGCTCAGTCGCTCGCTTGCCTGTTTGCCGTTCGACACAACTCTTAATGCTCGTTTAATGCATCTGTAATTTTGGACATCTGGGTGTGTGGTCTCGAAATAAACGTACTCAAAGCTTCGTATTCGCCTTCTGAATAATATACCGTTGGGGTTAAATAGGACGGTTATCAAGACGAATTGTATACGAAGTTTAAGAGATGTATCGAATACCGACCACCACATATATAATTTCCTATCTAAATATTGATATTACTACTGAAAATTGATTTCTGTTCATACCCATTTTCATAGTGGTAAACGAATGAATTGAATTTGGTGAGCTATTTGAAACTAAACTATAGATTGGTCATATTTAAGGAGCAAGCATGCTAGGATTCACGCGTGAGACTGATAGGTCCTGGATTTGAATGTCGCGAGGAGCGGGGTTGTGGATGCGCAGTGCCGCGGAGTCCCGTACTAGGACGAAATGGCAGTTCAGTGTGTCCAGGTTTTCAATGGTTGTCTAGCTTCAATTGACTCATGATTTCAACTATTGAGATTAAATTTTATTTCATTGAAATCGGAAATGACTATAAATTATTCAGTGAATTCGTGAACTCTCACTAAGTTGTGTAGCGACAAGATATGCAATGAACACCTAACCCTCCTTATTACCTTAACTAATACTAAAGTGAACCAAACTATCTTGCTGTTTCAGTTTATTTTAATTTACTTCCCAGTTTGCATCCGGAACTGATATCAGTCAAGCAAATATTGTAAACTAGAAGTTACTGGACTCTTGTTTCATTCTAGCTCTAGATGTCTCAGTAGTGTTCATCCACAGCCTAACCGGAGATCAACCATGAGACCTTTAGGTATCGCCATGAGAGCATAACCTTTAGACTACTGAATCAACATGAAATGGTTTACGTTTCCAACTTTGTTGTAATACTTAGACTCTCAGTCAAATGATATTTTAATATCCTATTTCATATTTTATTCAAACCATCGGTAATAAAAGTCTAAGGTGATAAATATAATGCTTAAAAATTGTCACACTACTTAAACATTACTTGAACAAATCACAAATATTATAGTAACATATAACCTACCCTTCCACCATTGCTTGGAGGTGGACTATCACAACGTCTTCGTCTTTGAGATAAACCTACACCACATGTGGCTGTACAAGCAGACCAAGGTGTCCAACTACCCCACTCACCATCAGTAGGACCAAATTTTACTAAACCTGGACGAATATCAGTATTTTCTGCCGTACAACAAATACCTCCATATTTTGGAGCTGGATTAGTACATGTCCGAGTTCTATATAAAAATGTAAAAATATATTGAAAGAAATCAGTTATTTAACTTGTAGATTTAAACAAAAAATGCAATGTACCTAATCTGAAATGAATATTCAGAACTATAAATAATAATTCGTAAATTATATTGAATAGCCCTCCTATAGCATACACATGAACAAATCCAGGTAAAGACAGTTAATGTGGCAGAAGTCTCTGCATCAGTAGGCCTCAACATACACAAGGTGAAAACCAAGGATCTTAAATTCAAAACGGAGAACAGCAATCAAATCACTCTTGATGGTGAAACTTTGGAAGATGTAGAATCCTTCACATACCTGGAAGCATCATCGATGAACAAGGAGGCTCAGATGCAGACGTAAAGGTGAGGATTGGCAAAGCAAGGACAGCATTCCTATAGTTGAAGAACATATGGAACTCAAAACAACTGTCTGTCAACCAATATCAAAGTCAGAATCTTGAATACGAATGTCAAGACAGTTCTACTGTACGGAGCTGAGACTTGGAGAACTATAACAACCATCATCAAGAAGGTGCAAGTATTTATAAATAGTTGTCTACGCCAGATACTCAACATTCCTTGGCCAGGTACCATCAGTAACAGACTAATGTCGGAGAGAAAAAGTTAGCTCCCAGATGAAAAGGAAATTAGGAAGAGATGATGGAAATGGATAGGCCATACATGCGAGAAATCACCAAACTGCATCACGAGGCAAGCCCTGACTTGGAATCATGAATGGAAGCGGAAAAGAGGAAGGCCAAAGAACACATTACGTTTGGAAATAGAACCAGATACGCAAAGGATGAATAACAACTGGAAGGAGCTTGAAAGGATTGCTCAGGACAGGGTTGTATGTCGAATGCTGGTGAGCGGCCTATGCTCCTTCACGAAGAGTAACGGGCGTAACTCGAACTAGAATTATATTGGACACACTTTTATCACCAACTAATTATATGTTTACGCTATTAATTTACTTCACGTGACCCTTAGAAATGTATATCTTAGTGTATGCCTGTTAGATTTTCTAAAACTTTTATCTAATAGAATAAGAAACAGAAGGGATCTTGAGTTGAAAAATTACAAACTTAGAGAAAACTCTGCTTCCATAAAAACTCACCTTGATTGGGTTCCATGTCCATAGTTTGACCACATTCTAACCATTGAGACCAATCCGACCATCTACTATCTAACTAAACTTATAAAATGGCAGGTGGTGAGAAATCTTCACCCAAACTTGAAGAAGCAACGCAATGATATAGACCATCATCATCTGATGAGACTCCAACAATCCTGAAATATTATGGTATCAAATAAATCAATGGTAAACAAAATAACAAAATACTTGACAAAAGACTATCACTTCTTAGAAACTAGTAATGTTACAATCGATCCAACAAATCATAGAGAAAAGTAAGTAAGTCACTGACTTGTTTCTTCGAAAGATTTGTGCACAAAATTATTAATTTAACACAGTCTCTGTCTTTATCTATTTTTTTAACAGTGTACAAATACAACTTTATATGAGATGAAACCAAAAATAAAACCCATCAGATTCCGAATAAGAATTTTACAATTACCCAGATCTCTCTGGTTTTCAAACATTCTTCAGCTCATATCGTCCTGTGACGTTAACTTATCCTCAAATAAGCACTGATTTGTTCAATAAAAACTATAGATTGAGACAATTAGTGACAACATTTAGATAAGCAAACCATCCAATTTCTTTAAATATAATCATCAAGTTATAGCAGTACGGTATACAACAAATACTGGCAAGTGATTGGATGATGCTGCTTACTAACATGAAACGTTTTAAATAAATATGATTGAACCCCTATCGAGTACATTTCGATCACTAAAGTATTTCTTTCTTATTATCATTTAATTACCTTAATGAGCCATTATTAACAAGTGAACGATGCCCACGAAGAATTATTTGTTGTTTATCTTTATACCATGTAATAGTTGGCTTAGGTTGACCTTCTGCAAGACATTCCATAACGACTACACTTCCAATTTGAGCTGTCATATTATTTGGATGATTAACAAGATATGGTTTACCTAAAAGGAAAATAAAGGAAGAAAATTAATAGTCGTGAATTGAATTTCTGACTCTGTTTTTAATGATTCACAAATTTCTATGTTGAACAAACCACATTTTTAGCATTTTCGTGCACATAAGTGAATTTAAACTTCATCCCATTGCACAAGCAGGTGGCTATCAGGACTCAGTAGGTAAGTGGATAAAGCGATGGCGTTTGAAGTGAACGGTACTGGGTTAGATTCCCTGAGTGAACATCAACTCTGAGATGCAGGTACATTCAACTTACGAGTCCCAAATAGGACAAAACGCGCCTCCTGAATTCCACTGCTAGCCTCTATCCTTCTTTGCTTATAACAACTGTTTTATATTTACTTAAAAAGTAAATGTTTTACTAATTAAATGCAGTATGAAATAACTTACTTTCTACAACCAAACGAAGTTCACCAAGATCTTCACCAACTGGATTTGCAGCTATACATTGATATGTTCCTGTATCTTTAGCCTAATTCAAAGAGAAAACACCAATTATTTAAAAGTAAATTATCACAACGGATGGAAATATGTTCTAATCAAACCAGAAAGAACTTAATAAAATGTTTACTGGTATAGAAGGACATGAAGATTATTGAATTTATTGTTTTATTGTCATGGATTGAGTTTTAAATGTTGCCTAATAGATGCCAAATCAGTTACATGAAAGTTAAGTGTTTATCGAAAGTCATGACAATCCTGAGTTTCATCCCTGACAAGCAAATGAATGTGTGCCACTGGTTTCCCAAACAGAGAACATACATCAGTTCAGTTCTTTATGTTTGTCATTGAAATGTCAGTCAACCTGTTATGTAAAACCACAAACCTTCCAACTTACACTTATGTATATACGAGATGATGGTGAAGATTTGTAGCTCAGATGGATGATTTTGATGGAGTTTTGTTCCATAAGCTGGATGGTTTAGTCGTGGAGCTTTCATCGTTTTTCTGAACGACATATTCAGCACAAACTTCAGATAGTGTTAACAAATCTCTTTGCATTTATATTAACATTTTGGGGTCAACCACATCATTAAACCTTAAGTACCAATCTAGAGGAAGGAACTGATAACATATTAAAAGTTATCCTACTTATAAACGAAGTTGTGTTGCTTAGTAAGAGTAAAAATTTATTTTCAACTTGTGAAATACTTTCTACAAGTTTCATTTATTGATCTGTGGCTAGTAGTCAGGTTTTTCACTAGTTCACATTACGGAATGAAGACATGTGTAACACTGAACGACTTCTGAGGACTACGACGGAGCCTTCAGAGGCCATAATGGAGCAGAAGAGTTTCTATTCAGTCAGAACGTGATGGAGCTTTCTAGAATAAATAACGTGACTGAATTATAATGAAGTGACAACAAACGCTAATATCTATAAATACACATGATTATCTGTACATTTTGATTCTTAATCAACAAACACTTATCCACCAATCTGTCTTCCGATTTTGTGACTGTAGAGTTCTATACGTTCGAGCGCCGTAGTTGTTTACCGTATCCTGCGTTAATCAAGTAGCTAATATAGCACACCTCTTTTAAAATGTAAAACATACTGCTTCCTTAAAGAATTGAACCTAGAACCATCATATCTACCAGCAAACAATAGATCTTTAGATTATCAAGTCGAAATTAGATGGTTTACATTTCTAACTTCAATGGTTGAGATCGTGAGTCAATTGAAGCTAGATTACCATGGAATACCTGGAAGCATTGGACGGCTGTTTCGTCCTATTTTGAAACTCCTCAGCAGTGTGCATTTACGACCTCGCCTCACGAGATTCGAATCCAGGACCTATCAGTCTCACGCGTGAGCGCTTATCCACTAGATCATTGACCATTGACTCATGATCTCAACCATTGAAATTACTATAATATCCACAAAACCCCTCTGAAAATGTAATAGAACTAAGGTATTTTCTATTGAATACAAAATGTATTACTTACTTTTGCCATTTTATAACAAGACTTGAACCTCTATCTAGAATACGAAAACGACTTGAATTGGAAATTATATTTCCATCTTTTAACCATATAACTGAATCAGCATCACCGCTAACTTCACATCGAAGACGTGTTGTATCACTTTCTCTAGGTGGTTCATCGGACTGTTATACATGCACTTTAGGACGAGCTATATCAAATAAAAGTACATATATGTAAATATATATCATGTACATTCAATATTAAAAGTTCTAGAAAATATTTATAAATGATGTAACCTTTTCAAACTATATAATAAATGCAGTTGCATTTCTATATCCCTTTTTATTTGAAGCTTTCATTTGACCTATTAACTGTTGTTATATGTTATTACTGTTCATTGATTATTACTAGTTAATTATGTACTGTTTGTTCCCCCCTCTACTACTCATGGTTTTGTTTTGCTTAATATATGATTTCGAATCCCGCGAGGCGGGGTCGTCGATGCGCACTTCTGAGGAGTCCCACAATAGGACGAAACGGCCATCTAGTGCTTCCAGGTTTTCTATGGTTGTCTAGCTTCAACTGACTCATGATCTTAGCTGTTTAAATTACTACAATCTCCACAAAACCCCTTCTGATTTCGTATTTGTTGTACGAAGTGATTTGGTATTTTAAATATATTACTGTATTCATTTCAAGTGATAATTGAATTGGGTACAATGGAGAATTAGGCAGTTACTAGTTATTGTCTTCTGATCGGCTTCTTGGTTAAAGGGGCTCGTGTACCGATAAGCAGTGAAACCTTAGTTGAGATTTATTAGTCAGTATGAAATTCTTGAAATAAGTAATCAGTTCAACTGACGTGATATCGATTAGAATCTATGGCCATAGTAAAATGAACGTTTCACAACGAAAAAAACACACGCTTCCTGCCCCTACTTAGAATTAGGTATTTAGGGTGAATATTATGAGTTTAATGTTAGAATTTTCATGACTGACTTGTATCAGCTATTGGGAAAAGTGTTTTGTAGCATTATGGACGAATGAATTTTGAGCAACTATACAATAGGCACTATCTGTTAGTATCACCTGGTCAAGCCTTGTTTGAGGATTAAGGGTTTGATGTTAAGATTTAGGGATATTGTCAGTTTACCTGTTATTTACATATTTAACAGAAAGATTTAAGCATTTCATGCGATTAATGTCGTTATTTTTAGCTTATGATGGCTAAAGCAATTCTTTGTTATCATTTTCAATGTTCTAAACACTAATGGAAGATATTTCTACTGTTTGCTACACGTGATACAAAAAGTCATGTTCTCAACTTTAAATGACTTATCACAATGATATGCTTTCACTTTAAAACTTACTTTTGACTTTCAATTCAAAATCGTACTCAACATTTCCAGCATCATTCTTTGCTACACATGTATATCGACCAGCTTGGTCAGTTCTTAATGGGCCAAGTACCAGTGAACCAACTCCATTTTTACTTGGATTACCTACATGAAAATAGAAATAGAAAGAATTATAAGATAGAAATAATATACTTGGGAAATTTGATGTATAAAATAATGTCATGTGTTTAAAAAATATATATATTGAATGATCAGTATGGGAATTTGTGAAGTTTTAGTATTTTCACAGTTGAATTAACAAGTCGATCTAAGATAGACTACCGTTGAAAACCTGAAATCACTGGAAGGTCGTTTCATCATAGTATGAGATTTCCCAACAGTGAGCATTCACTGTCTACATGGGGGACTTAAACTCAGGCCCTTCGCTCTCTCCGGCGAACGCTAAACCTCTACTCCAGTGAGCCGAGATCCAACGGTGTTAATAGCTAACTTCAATCGATCCATGATCATCTATTGTCTGAGGTGGATAACTGTCGCACAGCTGATACGGATTGGACTCCATTGATCACGGCTTCTCACAAGAACGCCAGTAGTTACATCTTGAATCTAGTTACTAGTGAGCACATGATTATTATCAATGCTTCCAGGTTTTCATTTGTGGTGATCGACTTGTGAATTCAACTGTTAGAATATATTGAATTGTCAGTTGCAGTGCAATCATGTTTGCTTCTTAACACAACTGTCTGTACTGATAAGAGTTCAAAGATAAGATATTCATCTTCATCATCTCGCGTTCACGCACGAGTCCGATAGATCCTTGGTTCGAATCTCGCAAGACGTGATCGTTTTTTGGGGAGTCCCATGTTAGGCCGATACGGCCGTTCAGTGATTCCATGTTTTCCATGATGGGCTAGCTTTATGGGACTCATGAAGTTAACTATTAATATTAGTTCACTTGTTACCACCTGAATTCAGATGTAAATAAGTCATCAAGCGTAAAATTAGCCGTCTTCTAGTTAAACTTATGTCTTTCTGTATATTGTCTTGTTAGTCAGCAGGGAAACTACTGGATAGGTAACCTGTTTTTACACGTTTTTTTAATGAAATATATTCTTTAATAGATTATACGTACTTGGAATAATATTTCCATTATGCATCCAACGAATTTCTGGTTTGGGATGTCCATTAGCAATACAACGAAATTGTATCCATCTTGCTTCATAAGCTTCAGTGGTTTGATTAGGTGTTCTTTCAAATTCCGGTTTAGCTTTAAAAAGAAAAATCATTCAATAGAATTTATTGATTAAAAAAATGTTTTAGAAAGATGACTGTTATTGATTATTGATTGGTTATTGATTATTATCACTAATAAAGATTCAATTTCACTAAAATCAAATTAGAGTCACAAGATTATGTAAACATATTTTAATGAAAGTATTGTTATGAACTATTCTCTTTTCTTTAAGATTTAAGTAGTCTATTTCATGTAAAATACTTATTGGGTTCGGTTCGCTTATGTAATTCCAGTTTATATAAGGTATTCACAAAACAGGACAATATGATATTGTAATGTGTAGTGGCTGTGTTTCATTAACCAATCACCCTCGTAACCGTTATTGTATAAACCTCAACGGTGTTTAAAATCAGAAGGTAAAGAGATGCAGAAACTATAGTTTATTAGCAGATAGCTCAGATCACGAAGCGGAGAGGTGAATGAGTGTGTCAGTGAGTCGAGTGAATAGGATTAAAATGTACATGTATATACATAGGAAAATGAATGAATCATCGAATCAATTAAGCCACTAATAGTAAAGCTAGCACAATGAATATATGAGTGTAGGGAGTAAGCAATGCTCAAGCATACATAATCATACATTCACAACAATAATAAAGGTACAATGATATAAATATGGGTGACTCTGTCCGTCAAATAACTTAACAAAAGGTCTTAACCGAATTAAATGTGAATAAACTCAATCGCATGTGAGCTGCTATAAGTGAACGAGGACAGAAGTGGGAACAACTAAATGTATTACAACACAAAATCACAGAATCTTTTAGTAAAATCTGAGAACCATACACTAAATAGTTCATTTGCAAAATGTCAATCCACTGTATCAAACTTGAGTGATTTTTCTTTACCACACCCATCACTCTCTGCTCTTATTCTCTTTTCCTCATCTTTTTAAGCTTCTACCGCCAGGTATTTCACTTTCCGCATTAGTAGCACATACCACAATACAATTTAGGTTGAAAATGATAGATGGCTACGTCTAGATTAACTGCATAGATCTTTTTTCCAATAATCTCTGATCATTTAATATCAATTCATTTCCATACAGTATGAATGATATGATATGAAGTCTTCCTTATTGTACTTGGATTGTTAAAGTTGGGACTAAAACACTAATCTTTTGTCCACAAATATTATACTGATCTTCAAAATATCTGTACGTATCGTACTACACACCAAGAGTATCTTCCTAATGAATAAACACTGACTTTTCCCTACTACATGAACCTTCTTAAGTGTTCGTAGGATCATTTATGACAAAACTTGACAGATAATAATCTATGACTCATTTATTACATCAGTTTGACTTTACTTTTAAAAGATTTTTGACTGTCTTGTTTCGCTTATTATTAGATTATCAGAAGTTGCCGTTTATGATTATGGTTGCTTACCAAAATGCAAAATCATTATATAGGAACGACTCTAGAATGCATCAAGACAGTAGTAATCCATGAAACAATGAGATACCCAGTGAGTTTGTCCCCTAAAGACTCTCAGCGATTTTTTTGAAAAGGTGGATAGAAGATAGAAGTGTATTGTTATAAATAGGAGTAGGCGTATTCTCAAGTACATAAGTCTAATATACCATACATTTTCTAAAATAACTTCACCGTTTGTCAACATAGGTTGATTCAACATAACATTGACTGTTAACTTCATCAAACTGATGAATAACAGTTACGGTTTCCAAGATCTGATCCATGACATTTTATGATCATTTAATACTTATTATTAACCTCACACTAATACAAACTTCTTACTGAAAATTGTCAGAAAAGTAGAATCCATAGCCATTTCTTGTCCAGGAGAACGAGCAACACACGAGTATGTTCCACCATCTGACGGCTAATTTTTAAAAATAAATATTAAGTAACATTTGAATTACTTGAACATTAATAGTATAATTAAATATAGACTTATCACCATGGAGATTTCAGATCATTAAATAAAGATCTTGAAAAAGTAATGAGTGAATTTGATTCATTAAATAAGTAAGATTAGTTCAGCGAAGAGTTCTCCCCTTATCGGTGAATTCATTTTCAAAGCTGTACAATCGCAATTATACATATACTTATTTTTACAGGATGATAATAATACTGATAATAAACTTCTGTTAGACATGGTGACTATGAGGTTAAATAAACAAAGGTACTTTATCAAAAGAACATTATCTGGCGTGGCTAAAAAGAGGGGATAATGACTCAATAAGAAGTTCAATAAACGAAAACCTACGAACACAGGTCACTCAATCAAGACAGACTCTGTGTTCAAAGTCATCTATAAGGTAAGTGGAAGTCTTTCAAAGACAGTTAGATTATATCTTCTTTGCATTGCCGAAGCATTAGCTATACATCTGGAAAAACCAGAATTTTATGTGCAGAAGAGATTGGTACAACATCTTCTTCTACCATGATTTTAATGTCTTAGAATTTTTTTCATACTCTTCCTCCTTTATACCCATTTGCTTCCCCTTCCATCTGCTCCCTAAATATTCTACCCCCCCCCCCAACTGCTTTATTTCCCTTTCTATGATCTTCCCGATCACATTTCATCTCAATTTCAACATTTATCTTATCATGCTGAGCCATCCTTTCCCAATGATAATTTCCCTATCTATCATTTGAGCAGTACTTAAGCCGTTAACAATCAAACGATAATTAAACTTTCCTTGTTTAAAAAAATTTTTTAATACCTTTGTTTATTTACCCTCATTATCACCATGTCTAACAGAAGTTTATTATCAGTATTATTATCTTCCTTCTCTAGGAGAGAACAAACCAGCTTCTAGCTGAACAAGAAATTCGGAATACACGATGGAATTCGATAGGACATACATTACTAAAATCATCAAACTGCATGACGAGGCGAGCCCTGACTTGGAATCATGAATGGAAGCGGACAAGAGGAAGGCCAAAGAACACATTACGTTTGGAAATAGAACCAGATACGTGGAGGATGAATAACAACTGGAAGGAGCTTGAAAGGATTGCTCAGGACAGGGTTGTATGGAGAATGCTGGTGAGTGGCCTATGCTCCTTCACGAGGAGTGACAGGCGTAAGTAAGTAATTATTATCATCCTGCAAAATAAGTATATGTAAATTTGTGATTGTACAGGTTTGAAATTGAATTCGCCGATAACAGGGGAACTTTTCACTGAACTAATATTCTTATTTAATGTCTTAATGAGTGAATTTAATTCATTCACTCCCAACATTACAGAACAAAAGCTCGTTATATGACAATGTTACATGAATACTGCATAAATGAATAGACAAATTTTAAAACATGCGAATGAAAGCCATATCCCTTTAAATTGTTATAAGTGGTAGTGTTATACCATGCCAAGTCATTAATTTTAACGGTCTTATAAACCTTTTCGTGCTAGTATGAACATTTACACACAATTCACATTGGAAATGAAGGATCCTATCTTGAATGTTTTCCGTTTTAAAGTGCTTTATCAGTAGAGACTTCAAATAGCGGAGAAGATTTGTAGCGCAGGTGGGTGATTTTGAAAGAGTTTTGTTCTCTGAACTGGATGGTTTGCTTGTGGAGATTTCATCGTTATTCTGAACAATATTATCAACACAAACTTCAGGTAGAAGTATTTCTCCACATGTAGTTCATAGGTTGTCCTGTACATCTCGATGTTGATTGATTCTTGTTGACCTTAACTTGTCATTGTTTACTTCATTGTTTTGGTTGTATCTCCCATTGGTTTGATTTTTGTTCCTATGTTTGTACATAATTTTCCTGATCGGTTGATTAATTGGATCGACTTCAATACGCTTGTTGATTGCTGATTGACCTGAATGCCAAGCTTTTAAAAATTCTTTAGTGTTTTTTCGAATTTCCTCTGTCCAAGTTTTCCACATTTCTCCAGTCAAATGAGTGTCGGCAGCTCACTTCAAATAGCTCATGATAATAATGTAGGTTAGTAAAAATAACTAGTTTCGTTAATTGACATAACTTCCATTTTTCTATAAAAATTCCTCTGTCCAAATTGAATCACTTCAAATATGTTTTCATTGAATCCAATCTCGTATAAGCAATGAACAGACCATACTATATGCAATTCATAACACTATACATTACTTCAAACTAATGAAACTTAGGCATTGATGACTCAGAGAGTGAACATCAGTAAGATGCATGAATATAAACCATAAAATATCTATCCATTAATCATTCCAAACCATACAGTACAGAGAGAGAGTTCCACGAGATATTCCGAATTCAGTTGTCCTGTCTTATTTTTCGGATAAAAAGTCATGAAGAAATTCAGTAGTATGATAAAATATTGATAATACGTATGTTGCATTTTCTTTTAATAATCTTTGATTCAGTAAATTCAAATGAAATATTAAGGCAAATTACATTCCTTAAGTGTTATGTTGTCTAGAGGTTTAGCGCTCACGCACGAGACTGATAGGTCCTGGTTTGGAATCTCACAAGGCGTGATCATGGATGCGCACTGTTTATGAGTCTCATAATAGGACGAAACGGTCGTCCTATGCTTCCAGGTTTTCCATGGTAATCTAGCTTTAATTGACTCATGATCTCAACCATTGAAATTACTATAATATTCACCAAACTCTTCTGATATTATGTAAATAACTGAAAAATAATTAGAAGAATGAATAGAAAATAGAAAAGTTCAAGTCTATCTAGTGGATTAACAATTGTAGTGTCGGTTACTATGTTCAGCAGTCCATACCTTATTCTAGCTTCTAGATAGGCCAATATGTCCATTCTTCTTGAGTCACATTTAACCTTCTTAATTATTCACTTCTCAACCCTGACTGTTTTTATATGAGCGTATATGTGCGTACTCATCTTATCATCACATGCCTGTAGCTCATTTTTGTGATTAAAATATTGATCAACACTTGAGGGGCTCACCACTCCACGCGTGTCATTTCGCTTCGCTCTTTACCTTTGTTTTATCTCCCTGATTGTCTGTTCAAATCATTGAATGTATAAAATATACATATTCAAATTCATTGTCGTTCGGCCTATTTAATCTGTTATATTCATGAATGAGGATTAAATCATAATAATATACGAGAATAATCAGGATGTATATTTCGACAGCAATCATTCAATAACATCAAATAGTATGATATAACATGGAGTCAGATCTAGGTCCACTAAACAATAACGTTCTCCTGTATTCTGAATGTAAATTGAATTCGCTATCTTTTGAGCGTAAAACAAGATTAGTAATAGATTATATTAAAAGAATTGAACTAAGCCATCTTGAGAATATTCAATTCATTAATAAAAAGTATATATTTTTATTAAATCAAGTCATGTATAGTAACTTTTGTTGGTGTTTCAAACGTACACGATCACCTAGATGAACCCCATTGCACAAGTAAGTGGCTATCAGGACTCAGTAACTGAGTGGCGTTTGAAGCGAATGGTAGTGGGTTCGAGTCCCAGAGTGAACATCAACTCTGAGATGCAGGTACATCCAGCTGACGAGTCCCAAATAGGACGAAACGCGCATCCTAGATTCCCCTGCTAGCCACTATCCATCATTGCTTACAAATAGCTTGTGAATTAAGTCAATGTCGAGGCATACGCACAGTATGCACATATGCCAATGACAGACTGATCAATTGCAGTCTTAAACCTGAATGGGAAGATACAAGTCAAACAATACCAAGTGAATTATTATTATTATTATTATTATTATTATTATTATTATTATTATTATTACTATCCGTATTATTGGTTAAACATCATTATCGATCTCCCCTAAACATGAATCACTCACTCTGCATTCATCCCTCTGTATTACGTCTTACTTATTTGATCGAATTGTAATTGCACTATTGTTTCTCTCTCTCACCCTATTTGACCCATATTCATTCTGATCATGGATCTTAAAATTTCACTTAACATATACGCAGATTCAAGTTAACATTCTATATGAATCATATCAATTTGAACAATTTTATTCTATTTTGTTTGATGATCCTAAATTCACATGCTTTAACTCTAAACGATGTACTTTGCCTTTAACCTGGACTATTTTCGGATTAATAATTTGAATATGAGATAATTGTAGAACCTGAAGAGAATTTTTAGAAAAGAATATTCTTCATTCAAATATTAGTCTTTTAATAAGATGGGGGATCTTCAGACGAATAATTCTCAGTTCTTGTAACCAAAATAATCACACTTCAATCCATTGTATTACTTTTTACCTATTTGGTGTTTTAAATCATGTAGATATTGTTGTGACTTTATGGCCTGCTAGTTATTACGTAATCTATTCGACAATCAAAATGCTACTTATTCGCTCTTATACTGTACTAAACCAATGAGGACCGACCGGTTTGATCAGCCTAGCGTTTGCTCCCCTAGCCCGTCCAGCTGAGTCCAGAACCCCAACAACAGCCTCCACTATGCGAATCAAATTGAATAATTTATCTCAGATATACTGGGTTTATATATCAACTAAACAGATCGCAACGCACCATATAATAGGAAATAACATTCAAACACAATAAAGCCAAAAAGTGGCTGTGAATGTGGGAGGCCGTAGTCAATAAACTGAACATAGCTTAAGAACAGTTGATCGAACAATAATAATATATCGGTCAAAATAAAGCTTGTAACAAAGGGAATATAGATATACATAATCTAATTACTGAATAGTTATACCATAAGAATGTATAGATAATATTAGTCCATTAATAGGTCTCAGACGTTACTCGTAATGTAATCTTCACTAGGATATAACAGATACATCTTCATTAAAGGAATTATTCTTGCCTGAAGCCCCTCTGGGGCTACCGCCGGTCCGAAGTCCGGATAAAGGAGAAGGGTTG